TCAAATGAGGCTCATGCGAAGCTCTCAAATGAAGACCTTATGGAGCTAAAACGAAGCTCGCATGGGACTTAAATGTTTTATGCGAGGCTCATGCGAGCGACCGCTAAAGTCCCATGAGTCTCGAATTTTCATGCTAGACTTATTGGAGCCTCATGTGAGCGGGTGGTGTACCAAGGGGTGCTCGGTTATTTGACTGGTCAAGGAGTGCCTTGACTTTCTCGCTCTGGTCATAAGCTCGAAAGTCAAGACCTGATCGTGGGCCCAGGCACGCGCGTGTGGGGCCACAAGGCACGCGCATGTGCCGAGTACTGCTGTGAGGTTGCTGTACAGCACGATCGCAACAAGACAGGGCCCATTTCGGCCCTGTCCCGCACTGTACACGCGCATGATTTCAATCATGATGCGCTATACAGCACGACCGAGAAAAAATCTCGGTCGTGCGTGTATCACAAGGGGTGCTCGGAATTTACAGTTGAGAAACTGTTTTCCGAGTTGCCTCACAGGACGGAAAATTTCTCGCGAAAGTCATTTCGCTTTGTGGAATCATTTTGACACAGGTGCAAATCGGTTACTCTGTTTTTCAAACGGTAAAAACCGTTATACAACTGTGAGCTCGCATGAAGACATTTGAGCTACATTGGAGCAACATGCGAGTCTCATGAGTGTACACATTTGAGTCAGCCGGGGCGATTGTTACAAGTGCAATTTGAAGACAGTTTTTAACAACACGAGGATATAGCCGAATGCTCGAGGAGTTGTGCAACTGTTTTCAAGATACAGCGTGGCGAAATCCTGCGAGCCAGTTAAACAACTGTTTTCTAGTTGCTCCTGCCTGTGCGTAGAATCTATATAAATGTGTGCTTGTACCTATCGAAATTAATCTAATGCATTTGCGTTTTTCAAGCTCGCATTTTACTACTTCGTATTGACGAGAGTAGAAATATTACCTTGGTGCTGCCGAAATTCTTCTCGACCAGTTTGCTCGTCCTACAAGCTGAGCAAGGCATAACTACTCACCTGCCATTTTCTACGCCTTTGGCTAGGAGGTGACAAGCTGTCACACTCGAAGGGCTGCAACTGATGTTAAGTATTGCCAAGTTAAGTTTGTAGTTCAAGCTTTAGTCGCTTCCGCATAACGTATTAGTTGTCAACAATGGGCACCGAGCGAATGCCTGTCAGAATCCCAACCACTAGACCATAGGGATAAAAGGGCTTGTTTTAGTAGCGTGTCAGTGCGCCCATAACCGCCCAGGCAAACGCGCCTGTAACCCCCCCCTAGGATCGATCGGGGATCTCACAGTGTAGCTCTACTGACACCCCCCCACACTGGGAGGCCCAGGACTGAGCACAGTGGCAACGGCCAACATGTGCATACACCGGGATTCGAACCCGAGACCGCTCTGATACCATGTCAGAATCCCAACCACTAGACCATTGGGATAAAAGGGCTTGTTTTAGTAGCAGGTCTGTGCGCCCATAACCCCCCAGGCAAACGCGCCTGTAACCCCCCCTAGGATCGATCAGGGATCTCACAGTGTAGCTCTACTGACAATGCCAACTTGCTCAACGGTCGTGGTGGCGGACATCTCCAGCTAGAAAGGTGTCTGGTCGGCGTTCATGATCTACGTGGTCTCAATGCCGCGCTCGCGTCGCTTGTCTCGGACAAACTGCAAAAAAATCTTGCACTACTCCGCGACATCTGCGAGACGGTGGGAGACAGGGCGAAACACATGGGTGCAATTAGTACATCATATGGTAAAGCACAAAGGATTATGGAAATTCTAAGTGGTGGGCCCTAAGCACAGTTCCCACAGGGGAACCTGCTCTGATACCACGAGAAGAAGCGAACGAGAATGAAATGACTATGAACGAAGTGAGTACAAATAAGAAACCCTAATTGGGTTGTACCCCCTATGGGATACCCCACTATAGCCTACACAAATAAGTAAGCTATAATGTTATGACAGGAAATGCCATGTTACGCGCGGCGGTTTTCTGTGCAACCCTTATCTTCATGTGGACGCTTAGATTCTAGCGCTTCCGAAATCGCTCCGACCACCTTTGACTGCCCATCCACTTCTCGAGAGGGTAGAGAACTTTCATAAACTCCCTCGACCACTCCTGCAGGCGGCCGACCGACACGGCAGTTCCTTTGCGGCGCCACTCGAGGAGCCGCTCGTACACCTTCATCTCCATCGGTCGGTACCATGACGATCTCCCGTGACCGTGCATCCGCTTCCTTGCGGAGTGAGCTTCCTTCAAGAATCCCGCTGAACGCTTCCAGTTGGAGAGTTACTTGCGGTGTATACCACTCTCGCGAGCCAAAGCACACACCAAAACCGCTACCTGCAGAAGCGCTACGTACTTCAGTTTCTTGTGATCATTGAGCTTATGCCTAGGAGAGGGGGGGCGTGTCCGAATCCCAACCACTAGACCATTGGGATAAACGGGCTTGTTTCAGTAGCGGGTCAGTGCGCCCATAACCCCCCAGGCGAACGCGCCTGTAACCCTCTCCAGGATCAATCGGGCATCCACAGTGCAGATCCACTGACAGGGCGGGCATCACGGTTCTGTGAAGAAGGGTGGGATCGCTTGCGATTAGTAGGAGGGTAGGTAGGTATCGGCAACTTCTTGGGGAGCCCGTCGCGAGACCAGTACTCAACACCGTCGTCCTCGTCGCCGCCCGGCGCACCTTCGGGAAACACATCCTCATCGTTGCCGGCCTCGGTGCCAGTCTCCGTGCCACCCTCGGCGCCTTTGCCGCCCTCCTCGCGACACTCCTCCTCAGCGTCAGGGAGATCGTCGTCGGCGCCGACTGCAGATTTGTCCCACGTACAATCGTCGGGCCTGCCCCAGCGCTGTCGTGGCACATAATCAACTGCCACCCACTCATCTATGGGCTTGTTGGACTCTGGCTCCGAGATGTATTCGTCGAACGCCGATGGGTGCAGAAGCATGAGCACGGGAGGATTGCCCGTGTGAACAGGAGACACCGGCAACGTGTCAGAAGGAGGAATAGGACGAACAAGAGGAACAGGAGGCGCAGGAGGCGCAGGAGGAGCAGGAGGAGCAGGCGGCGCAGGAGGCGCTGGAGGCTGTGGTGGCTGTGGTGGGCTAGGTGGGACACGCGAGTACCATCCGTCCTCGTCAACTACAAAGGCGGGTTTACTGATAGGTTTCCTCTTGAACAAGAAATGAGTGCCAGAGAATTCCGCCATCGCTTCCGCAGCCATGCGGGAGAGAGCAAGAATCTGAATGTGTAAGTGAGAGAATTGGAGAAGAAATGAGGGTTTGGAGTGTACCCCTTATGGTGTGTGGCTCGAGGTCCTCTTTAGGGATAGTCGGGTACCCCCTTGCCTAAACACGCAAAAGAGGGAATCGCGGCACGTATCTGCTGCGCTGGCAGGGATATTCCACCCCCTTCTCGAAGGTTGGGGTGAAATGTTGCACCCTGGCAGCGCATGACATTCCTATTGGGCCACACGGCAAGATGCACGTCATCCCTGGCAGGTGCATTGCTCCGGGACATGCTTTGTGCGGTGGGAAATCGAGTCGCGGTTGTTTTCGCCAGGATTTCATGCACGATCCCATGCGCACAGGACATGGTCTTGTTCGCCTTATTGAGGGCTTCATTTTCGTACCTTAAAAAAAAATACTTTTGACTTTATTTAAGCACCGGCGCTTATGGCCGTTACTCAATTACGAGTGCCACCCCTAAAAAACTTGAATTTATTATAAGCGCATATGCGCTTATATACTTGTGCAACGAGGCGAGCACGAGTACTGCTCGACTCGTCCCTAGCCATGCTCGGCCGAGTACGAGCCCGAGTCGAGTAATACTCGACCGAGCAATTTTCCCCCAAACAGATACTCGTTACTCGCCCTCTTTAGGGAAACTCGGGCGAGCAATTTGAAAAACTCGTCCGAGTACGAGTAATGCTCGGCCATGCCCCCTATAGGGGCATAGAACGACTTTGTACATAACGCCTAGTAAAGTCCATTGGTACCACGTAGTATTTGGGTTTCCAGGGCCGGCCAGGTAAATCAAAGGTGGTCCATGGTGGCCTAGGGTGTCAAACATTATATATGTTGTAGTTGTTTAGGCTACAGTGGGTTAGCCTTTAGGGGGTGCACAATTCTAGGTTTAGGTACTTGTACTCACTTCTCTCTCAATTCAATCATTCATTCTCTAACATGGTATACAGAGCAGGTCCTTCGCTAGGACCGATTTCTTAGGGCCCACCATTGCTGACTGCCTACTAGCGCCCTCGTGCGCCTCACTGTCGGAGCGCCCTCGAGCGCCTCCCCCAGCGTCCCTCTTTTAACGGCCCCTTAGCGACCCGCGCGCCGCCCCTTAGAGGCCCCGTCGGCCCGTCGACCCCGAGCGCGCCCCACGTAAAGGCCCCGTCGGCCCCACCTAGAGGCCCCGTCGGCCCGCGCGCCCCACCTAGAGGCCCCGTCGGCCCCACCTAGAGGCCCCGTCGGCCCGCGCGCCCCACCTAGAGGCCCCGTCGGCCCCACCTAGAGGCCTCGTCGGCCCGTCGACCCCGCGCACGCCCCTCCTAGAGGCCCCGTCGGCCCCGCCTAGAGGCCCCGCTGGCCCTGACGACCCCAAGTGCGCCCCGCCTAGAGGCCCCGCTGGCCCCATCGACCCCGCGCGCCGTCCCTTAGCGGCCCCGTTAGCCCCGTAGACCCCGTGCGCCCACCCCTTAGCGGCCCCGTCGACCCCACGCGCCGCCCCTTAGCGCCCCGCACGCGACAGCCACGGCCCCGCCAGAACCAGGCCGCCCGAACCGAGCCGCCCGAACCGAGCCGCCCAGCCCGAGCCGAGCCGCGCCGCCCGAACCGAGCCGCGCCGCCCTACCTGAACCGAACCGCGCCGCCCGTACTGAGCAGCCTTTCTGTACCGAGCCGCCCTACCTGAGTCGCGCTGCCTACTGCTTTTAGGGTGCACCTACTGCTGCTGCTCCTTCTACTATACTGCTGCTCCTACTGCTACTATGGCTAGCCCTCCTGTACTAGCTTTCGATACTAAGGGCCGCCCAGTGAAGTTTGACACCTGGCTAGATGACCTGCACCTCTTCCTACAGCTCACTGCCAAGGAGGACATCTCACTGTACGATCACGCCCTAGGCCATGCCACTGCCTCTGCTGCTACTGCTGACAGCACTGCCCGCTCACAGTGGCAGACTCGTGACGCCCACGCTCGCTTTGCTATTCGCAACTCCCTACCGATAGATGAGTGCGAGCACTTTGGCCAGCACAAGACTGCACAGGCACTGTACACTGCTGTCGTTGCTCGCTACTGCTCACCTGCCTCTGCTGCGCTAGGCCGTCTCTCACTCCCCTACCTGTTCCCCGACCTCGCCTCCTTCCACACAGTCGGTGACCTCATCACGCACCTCCGTACTAGTGAGGCCCGCTTCCGTGCCGCTATGCCTGATGAGTTTCTTGCCACGAACCCCCCCCCGCTCTGGCTCACTCTCTACCACCTAGTCACCCGCCTCCCTGACTCTCTGCGTGCAGTCAAGGACCACTTCCTAGCTCGCTGCCCCACTGAGCTCACCATTGCCCTCCTCGAGAAGGAACTACTTGCAGCTGAGGCTAGCATAGTCGCTGTAGGTGCCTCTCGTGGCGACCCCCGCACCCCTTTCTTCGAGGGGTGTTCCCCTTCCCCCCTTCTTCCCTCTGTAGCCTCTGCTTCTGCTGTCGACCTCCTTGGTGCTGAGAAGGTCAGGACTGCGTCTGCTTCGAGCTGGCGCCGCAGCCGGAAGGGCAAAGGGGGCAAGGGAGGCGGAGGTGACGGCGGGGGAGGCGGTGGTGGGGGTGGTGGCGGCGGTGGGGGTGGTGGTGGGGCTGGAGGGGCTAGTGGCAGCGGTTGGGGTGGTGGCGGCAGCGGCGGGGGAGGTGGCAGGGGCGGGGGTGGTGGTGGGGGCGGCGGTGGACGCGGCAGCGGCAGGGGAGGGGGTGGTCGAGGAGTTGGCGGCGGCAGTGGTGGTCGTGGAGGCGCTGGCAGTGGCCAGAGCCAGCAGTACACTCCATCGCCCCAGGAGCTCCGTGAGTGGTACTCTCAGCACGGGGGGGGGGGGGGGGGGGGGGTGGCCTTAGCTGCACGTACGTTATCCGCACTGGTGACCGCACTGGTCAGACGTGTGGGAGGGCTCACCCCACGCAGCGCTGCTTCTCTCGCCTCGATGACGCTTAGCGCACTCAGTTTCCTGAGGCCACTGAGCTGCCCCGCTGGGCTGATCTGATGAAGAAAAACATTGATATCTTTGCACTAGACTTTGATGCTATTCTCACCGCCATGTATGTGATGTCTGTTAGTGGAGAGGGTGCTCAGTACCTGCGTCTTCCGCCCGATCCGGGCATTCGGACCAGTGAGGCTGCCGCTCTAGGTGCTAGAGTGTCTGCTACCCCAGGTGCTGGTGAGGCTACCGCTCTAGTTGCTAGTGAGTCTGCGCCCCCTGGTACTGAGCCGACTAAGGCACTACACACCTTCACACTGGACTCAGGTGCTTCCTGTTGTTTCTTTCGTGACCGCACGGCCCTTAAGCAGCTTGCTCGGCCAGTTGCAGTCTCCCTCGCTGACCCCTCTGGGGGTCCGGTCCTTGCGACCTCCTCCACTGTCCTCCCCTGTCCTGCGGTCCCGTCGGGCACACTATCGGGTCTCTACCTCCCCTCGTTCTCTACGCACTTGGTGGCGGGTAGTGCGCTCCAGGACGGGGGTGTCCACCAGTTCACCCCTGCCTACGAGCACGTGACACACTGCACGTGTGCTCGGACGGGCCGTCACCTGGCTACCTTCACACGGCAGCCGGGGTCAGACCTGTACACACTGACCACTGAGTCCCCTCAGGTAGCTGCGTCTGCGTCTGCGTCAGGTCAGCTATCAGCCCCCTGCTCGTGTCGCTCTCTGGCGCACGAGGCCGTCCTCTGGCACCACCGACTTGGTCACCCGTCTGTGCAGCACCTTCGGGCCATGCACAAACGGTACCTTGTCTCTGGTCTTCCCAGGGTTCTCCCTCCCCTCCCACCCTCGCCTGCTCCTCCCTGTCTTCCCTGTGTCGAGGGGCGGCAGCGCGCCGCTCCTCACTCCTCCTCGTTTCCCCCGACGATTGCTCCCTTGCAGACGCTCCACATGGACGTGTGGGGCCCAGCCCGCGTCCGTGGTCAGGGTCAGGAGAGGTACTTCCTAATATTTGTTGACGACTACTCGCGCTACACCACGGTCTTCCCCTTGCGCACCAAGGGTGAGGTCCCTAATGTTTTGATCCCTTGGATCCGCGCTTCTCGTCTCCAGCTCAGCGAGCGTTTCCACTCGGACTTTCCTGTCCTGCGCTTGCACTCTGACAGAGGTGGTGAGTTCTCCTCCGACCTCTTGGCAGCCTACTGTGCGGAGCACGGCATCCGCCAGACGTTCACGCTTCCGGCCTCTCCACAGCAGAATGGGGTTGCTGAGCGCTGCATTGGCTTGGTCATGGAGGTCGCTCGTACCTCCTTGATCCATGCGGCTGCCCCCCATTTTCTGTGGCCGTTTGCGGTCCGATACGCTGCGCATCAGCTCAACCTCTGGCCCCGTGTCTCCTTGCCGGAGACTTCCCCGACACTACGTTGGACGGGAGAGGTTGGCGATGCGTCGCATTTCCGGGTGTGGGGATGTCGAGCTTTTGTTCGCGATACGTCCGCGGACAAGCTCTCCTCCCGCGCTGTTCCTTGTGTCTTCCTTGGCTTTGTCCCGGACGCGTCTGGTTGGCAGTTTTACCACGCCACCTCGCGCCGTGTCCTGCACTCTCAGGACGTCCCTTTGACGAGTCTGTGGCCTACTACCGCCTCTTCCCCTACCGCACTGCCCCGCTCCCCCCCCCGCCTCTCTTCCTCGCGCCAGGTGCTGCTTTGGTAGACCCCCTCCCCCCTCAGGGTGCCGCTCCCTCAGGTGTGTCCCAGGTAGACCCGGTTGAGCCTGTCGAGGTAGCTCTCGACTCTCGTCCTGCTAGGGGTGCTGAGCCTGAGCGTGCAGAGCCTGGGGTTGCGGAGTCTGGGGGTGCTGAGCCTGGGGGTGCGGAGTCTGGGGGTGCTGAGCCTGGGGGTGCGGAGCCTGCGGGTGCTGAGTCTGGGGGTGCTGACTCTGGAGGTGCTGAGCCTGGGAGTGCTACACCTGGAGGAGCTCTCTCCTCACAGCAGCTGCGTGAGTGGTACTTACAGTACTGCAGCCTTAGGAGAGGTGCTTCTGGAGCTAGGAGTGCTGCTGGAGCTGGGGCTAGTGCTTCCCCTCCTAGGCGGGAGCTGCCCTCTCCCCAGCGGCTCCGAGAGTGGTACGCACGGCGCTGCAGTCTCAGGAGTGGCGCTCCTTGTGCTGCGGACCCGGGCGTAGGAGCTGCTGCTGGTCCTGCTGACCCTGGAGTTGGAGCTGCTACTGGTGCTGAGGACCCGGGCGTTGGAGCTGCTTCTGGTGCTGCGGCCCCGGGTGTTGGAGCTGCTGCTAGTGCTGCGGACCCGTGCGTTGGCGCTGCTGCTGGTGCTGCTGACCCTGGAGTTGGAGCTGCTACTGGTGCTAAGGACCCGGGCGTTGGAGCTGCTGCAGGTGCTGCGCACCCGGGTATTGGTGCTGCTGCTGGTGCTGTGGACCCTGGCGCTGGTGTCTCTTCTGGCTATGGAGACACTGCACGGCCGCGGCCGTACTTCGTTCCGCTCCTTTAGCAGGTTCTTGGTCAGCCTCCTCCTCGTCGTCCTCCTCCCTCCTTAGAGTGTCCTCCGTCTGTCCAGTCGCAGTCACAGCTGCCGCCTGCCTCGCCCCTTCCTGGTCTTTCTCCCTACACTGGTCTGACATGCGGTCTTATAGAGCGTCGTGAGCCAGAGTCTCGTCTTGTGTCGCGTGTGTCTCGTGCTGCGTCAACTGTTCATGTTGCTCCCACTGCTAGCCGTGTTCCGCGTGAGCACCCTCCTGCTGTCCCCGGCACACACTATATGACTCTGCGTCCTTCCACTGCTCCCCAGCGTGTCCCTCTCCCGTCTCCTCCTGCGTCCTCTCTTTCTGCTCTTGCTAACCCGGAGTCTGACTCCCTACGCGCTACCAATCCTACTGTCACGCGTCTCCTGGCTACTATTGTCACTGACCCTTCCTTTGAGTCCGCTGCTGTGTCTGCCTTAGTTGCTGAGCTTGTCGACTTTGCTGCCACCTGTCGTCTAGACTACGCCGCTAGCCTAGTTGCTGAGTCTGAGTCTGTCTGTCCTCCGTCCGTCGGGGGTGAGTGTGCTCTTGGGACGAACGTTCTTGAGGACAGGCAGGAGGAGTTTGAGTGCTTCGCCGCTGCTTTACCTCATCTCGTGTCCATGCTAGTTGCCCCTGAGGGAGATCCGGATGCACCAGACATCCCGACTCCTCGATCGTACGCTGAGGCGATCGATAGTCCCTACTCCTCTCAGTGGCAGTCAGCCATGGACGCAGAGATGGCTTCCTGGAAGTCCACAGGTACCTACGTTGACGAGGTTCCCCCACCTGGGGCGAACATCGTCAGTGGTATGTGGGTTTCCAGGGTGAAGCGGCCGCCGGGTTCTCCGCCTGTCTTCAAGGTGCGTTACGTTGCACGAGGCTTCAGTCAGCGAGAGGGAGTTGACTTCTTCCAGACCTTCTCCCCGACCCCGAAGATGACCACTCTTCGGGTTCTGCTGCACATCGCCGCTCAGCGTGACTACGAGCTCCACTCTCTTGACTTCAGCACTGCTTTCCTACAGGGCAGCCTGCACGAGGAGATCTGGCTGCGCCGCCCACCTGGCTTTACTGGGTCGTTCCCTCCTGGTACCCAGTGGAGCCTCCGGCGGCCAGTCTACGGTCTCCGAGAGGCACCGCGTGAGTGGCACGACACACTGAGGACTACACTTGCGGCTCTTGGGTTCGCTCCCTCTACTGCTGACCCGTCGCTGTTTCTACGCACCGACACTTCGCTGCCGCCGTTCTACATCCTCGTGTACGTCGACGACTTGGTCTTTGCCACTGCTGACAGTGCGGCACTCGCCCACATGAAGTCGGAGCTGTAGAAGAGACACACGTGCACAGACTTGGGTGAAGTGACAAGCTATCTTGGCTTGCGGATCACCCGGGACAGAGCACGGCGCACCATCACCTTGACTCAGTCACACATGGTGCAGCAGGTCCTTCAGCGCTTCGGCTTCACGTACTCCTCGCCTCAGTCCAGTCCTCTACCTACAGGTTACTCGCTCTCAGCTCTGCCTTTGGATGAGTCCGTAGAGCCGAGTGGCCCGTATCCAGAGCTTGTGGGCTGCCTCATGTACCTGATGACCTGCACTCGACCTGACCTTGCATACTCTCTTAGCATCCTTGCACGCTATGTGCTCTTGGCCGTCACCGGAAGGAGCACATGGATGCTGCTAAGAGGGTGTTGCGCTACCTGTGCAGTACGTCGGGCATGGGGCTAGTGCTTGGAGGACGAGACCGAGTTGTACTCACTGGGCACTTAGACGCTTCTTGGGCTGATGACCAGGCTACTCAGCGGTCGTCACAGGGTTACACCTTCAGCCTTGGCTCTGGTTCAGTTTCTTGGCGTTCTACTCGTTCTTCTTCTGTTCTCAGCTCCAGTTGTGAGGCTGAGATCTACGCCACAGCCATGGCTGCACAGGAGTTACGGTGGCTCACCTACCTGCTGACCGACCTGGGAGAGCGGCCTAGTTCTCCTCCAGTGATGTACGTCGACAACAAGGCTACCATTGCCTTGTGTGAGGAGCACAGACTGGAACACAGAACGAAGCATATCTCTCTGCAGTACTTCCTTGCTCGAGAGCTGCAGCAGCGTGGTCAGCTTCATCTGCGTTACGTGGCCACTCGGGCCAACACTGCTTATGTGTTCACCAAGGCGCTTCAGCCTTGTGACCATCAGCGTTTCTGTACTGTTCTAGGCGTTGTGCCTACTTTTCCTCACTTGCTCACTTCTTGACTCTGCTTGTACTGTGATCTCTATATATATACCTGCATGCTTACACTTGTTAGGTTGTGATCACTGTATCTCTTGATATATTATCAAACTGCATGTGAACTGGTCTTGTGACCGCTTACTTGTGCTCGGAATTTGTGTGGTATCCTTGAGATCCACCCTGAGCTTGTTTTGCCTTGCTTTGCTTTGACTGGTCTTGTGACCCCTTGCTCTCCCCCACTTCGCCTATGGGGGTGTGTCAAACATTATATATGTTGTAGTTGTTTAGGCTACAGTGGGTTAGCCTTTAGGGGGTACATAATTCTAGGTTTAGGTACTTGTACTCACTTCTCTCTCAATTCAATCATTCATTCTCTAACATAGGGAAGCCCAGGAAAGCCCTGGCCTGGGTCGCCCCTGGGTACCCTTGGGCTACCTAGGTAAGCCCATGGAAGCCAGCTTAGACCTGGACAGACCTCGCAGGCAAGCCACTAGGGGAACGCACGTGTGTTTTCACAACCCTACGGATTCATGAGATTCACCAACTATTCTAACTACACACATAATAATTTAACGTAGGCCAGGTCTTGCGCCCTGGTGAGCGTAAGCATCAAGTGATCTCAAACAATAAATAGTGCCCTGCTAGGTTTCCTCCCACACACACCAGCCCATGTCATCCCCCCCCATCCCTTACCACAAACCAGTCCACCCCACACCATCACTTCGGCTGTTCTTCATCCATCTCCACCCCTACGGCATCCGCCTCCGCCAACTCTAGCAGTTTCGCCGCCGCCTTCCCCAACTTGCACCCTGTGTTCATGTCCACCCAGGACTTGAGAATCATACATGCTCGTACGCGCTCAGGTCCCAGGCTATGCCTCTGCCATGTGATTAGATTGCGGCCACGCGAAAAGTTGCGCTCACTCGCAACCGGCGTTGCTGGTATGGTGAGGTAGTCTAGGGCCATAGCCTGAAGCCCCTCAAGGTCATTCCTGTGGCGCCAATACGATAGGGGACAGGTCCCCAAAGGCTCTAATCGCTCGTCGATGTAAATCTGCACCTCGTCCCTGACGGACTCCTCCTGGCGGCTACAGTACTCCTCTAATCTTGCCCTCAAGCTCCGTCTATCCCCGTCTACACCACCGAATGAATCGATGGTTGGGCGGCCGCCTGCAGCACCCCCCTTTCTGCCAGCTCCATCCCCCTGGCCAGAGGAGCTCCCTCCTGATGAATTCCCCCCTCCCCTTCCACGTGCACCACGACCAGCCCCCTCTGCCCTCTCCCGTTTCTCCCTGGCCGCCACCGCCTTTGCCTTGTACGGTACCAACTTCGCCCGTACCAAGGCGAACACCCTTTCCGCTGCAACATGCTGTACCCCCCCCGGCCTCTCACTCTCCTCTCCCCCCTCACCATCCATCTCGAAGTACCCGATCTTGAAGCTTGGGTCAAGAAAGGTGGCAACCCAAAGCTCATCACTGCTGCCCGAGTAGTACTCCATCAGCTTCTCCTCTGCCTTAGTGATGCAGTCCTTCATGACCCCTGATGGGGGGGGGGACACACTGTTTTTGAGGGTGTCTAGGCCGTCCAACAGTTCATTGAACAGCGGGACAACCCTGGAGATCGTGGGTTGCTTGGACCCCTAAGCGGCGAGGCTCACGGCATGGAATGGCTTAAGGAAGGCCGCAAGCTCTTCCAAAGCCAACCACTGTTCCGAGGAGAGGGTGAGGGCCTGGAGGCGCTTGGCATCCTTGGCGGTGAGAATTGCCTGTTGGGGCGGAATGTTAGTGGACAAACAAAAGACAGCATTGATGTTGTAGGTATGGGGACGGAGCAGATGTGGTTTGATGGTAAACATTCTGCAGCAGCACACACCAAAGCTCAGTGAGGAAGACACCATAGCCAGCCGCTATGCCTCAGCCCATCTACTTGCTTACTGGAGCTTTGCGGTAGAAGGTCTCGATGGCACTTCGAAGTCGAAGCGCACGCTCGAGCATGAGGTAGGTCGAGCCCCACCGCACCTCATTGTCCCCGCGAAGACGCAATATCCTCGCCTTCTCATCAGCACGCTTCTGGATCTTCTCGAACAGGGTTGTCCTCTTGGGCGATAACCCAATGAAGGACGCTAGGTCTCTAACGATCCCTAGCGGCTCCTTGATATCGAGCACTGTCTTCAGCCCTAGCAGGATTGCTAGGTTGCAAATGTGGCCCATGCACCTGGTGTTCGGGTTGCATGATTGCAAGAGAAGGCGCACACACCGGAATAATCACGAGTACCGCACGCACACACATACAACACGGCACAGAGCCACCATGTGTGCGAGAGGTAAACCAACTTAAAGTACCTGACGTGCATCTCGGAGAAGAACAAGGGCGGCTGACGGTCGGTTGGCCCCCCACAGCAAAGGAACTCCATCGCTGCGACATTGGCCGACGCGTTGTCGGATGTCACAGCAATGCACCGCTTCTCCAAGTTCCACTCCTTCACCACATCGAGCAGCACCTCGATGATCCTTGCGCTAGTGTGCTTGCCGGGCATAGCACGGAAGTCGAGGGTTATGAGAAGATAACTACTACAACGGGAGCTTAGAGTACTGGCTAGGCACGTGTGCTCGTGTGATGTCTGCGTTCGTTGGTCCTTAGACGTTTTCCTAGTGCTCACACTGGTTGCTAGTTCACGGGGCAATTTGGCAAGAGTTTCACTAGAGAAAGTTGTCAATAATGGTACAATGAAGTTGGCAATGCAAGACTACATCAGAGCTAGCATTCAGGTTGGTCGACTGCCAGCACAGCATGGTCGACCGCGTTCCAGCACGACTTGGTCGACCACGCTACAGCAGTGCAAAGTCGACAGCTTGCCAACGCTGCAGGTTGACGGTGTGCCAGCATTGTTCACGCAGGACAGCAGTGCACCCGCTTTGCAGGTGCGCGCAGATGATTGGCATGCAAAGTCTCGTCACCTGCACAGCGCACACACCACGTCAACCTCGGGCTAGCGACTGCCTCTGATCCGCCACGACGACCTCGGGATACCACCATGGAGGTCGGTCTCGCCAACTTCGCCTGGGTGACCGTCGCACTCCTTCGCAGAAACTCGTCACCCAGGTATCCTGGTCGACCGGGCAACTATGTCGACCAGCTGCTCCTGTATGTGCTCGTCGACCTCCCAAGTCGACAACCACACCAGGTCGACCTCACCAGGTCGACCACTCCTCCGGTCGACCAGATCCAGGTCGACGTCACTCCTGGTCGACCAGTGCAGTTGTCAGCTACCCAAGTCGGCGTCACCAGGTCGACGCCCCTTCTACGTCGGCGCCGACTTCAAGACTGACCTCTTGAAGTTGGCGACCTCCCAAGTCGGCGACCTTGCAAGTCGGCGCCGACTTGCAAAGTCGGTGACCTTGCAAGTCGGTGACCTTGCAAGTCGGTGACCTTGCAAGTCGGTGACCTTGCAAGTCGGCGCCGACTTCCAGGTCGACGTGCCACATCGCCGACCACCAGTTGAAGTCGGCCGCTGGCTTCCCAAGTCGGCGGTATTGCAGTGGCGCCGTGCAAGTCGACCAACCCCGTCGACCAGCTCGTCCAAGTCGGCTTCGCCCACTGCTGCAAGTCGGCTGTACCTTCCGTACACCCCACCACGAAGTCGGCTCCGCCCAAGCGTGGACGGGGCCAACACACAACTCCCGTTGACACTCCCCTGCCGCGTTCACGCTTGGCCCCCCCAAGTCCACTCGGCAGTACTCCTCGGAGAATAGCTCGTCGACGTGCACCCAACACACAGCACGTCGTCCACCGCACCAGCCATGCAAGAGGGCATGGCACCTACTGCTGCACGTTGTCATCTTCGTCGCCCACGTCGGCCAAGCGCACCTGGCCGATGGCGATGGAGCACCGGTTGAAGGCCGGATAGTGCAGCGCCTTCGTCAGGAAGTCGGCCGGCTGCTCAGTGGTCGGGATGTACCTCAGCGAGAACTTCCCGCGCTTCACCATGTGCTGCAGCCAGGCCTGTCGCCGCTCCATGTGCTTGAGGTTGCCCGTCAACCCCATGCCCTCGACGACTGTGATGGCCGACTTGTTGTCCACCCGAAGGACGGTCGGCTTCCCGGCATCCAGCTGCCGGAACTCTGCAAGGAGGAAGCGAAGTCGGCGTCCTTCCTTGCCGGCCTCGGTGGCTGCCACGTACTCCGACTCAGTCGATGACAACGTCGCACACTTGATGCGCTGGCTCGACCAGGAGACTGCGGCCCCTCCATAGACGAACACGTAGCCACCCGTGCTCGTCCTATTCTGCTTGTCACCGGCGTCGTCGGCGTCCACGTAGCCGACCAGCTCCAGCGACTCAGGTCCACCGCCGAACTCCAGTGCGGTGTCGCGCGTATTGGCGAGGTAGGCGAGGCAGCGGTCGACCTCGCGCCAGTGCTGGTCGCTCCTCACCGTGAGGCCGCTCCCCAGCTTGCTGCAGGCGAAGGCGATGTCCGGCCTCGTCGTCGTTGCCGCGAACTGCAGCGAGCCGACCTTCTGCCGGTACTCCTCTTCCTGCCGCTCCTGTGCCTCCTCGTCATCGAACGTGAGCTCGGCGTAGGCATCGACCGAGACCGGCGTCTTCGGGGTGCGCCCGGTCTGCTCCTCGTCGATGAAGCGCCTACGAAGCTTGTCGGCATAGCCCTGCTGGTGCAGCCACAGCTTCCCCGCCGACCTGTCGCGGACGATCTCCAGCCCGAGGTACTTCTGCACCGGCGAGATCTCACGCAGCTCGAAGGCGGCTTCCAGAAGTTCCTTCAGCTCCTTCAACATCGCGGCGCTACTGCTGGCGGCAAGTAGGTCGTCGACGTAGACCAGCACCCAGCAGGCCACTCCGTCCTTTCCGTCCTTGAAGTAGAGAGCCTCGTCGACCTGGCTCTTCTTCCACCCGGCGCCGACCAGCACGTCATTGAGCGCCAAGTACCATAGCAGCGGCGACTGCTTTAGCCCGTACAGGCTCTTCAGCAGCTTGCACACCCGGCCGGTCCCGTCGTTGAAGTAGTCCGGCTGGGACATGTAGAGCACCCTGTCGAGCTTGCTCTGCAAGAAGGCGTTCTTCATGTCGAGCTGCATCAGGTTGAGGTTGCGGACGGCGACGATGCTGAGGAAGATCCTCAGCGTGACGTAGCTGCCCACCGGCGCGAACGTCTCGTCGTAGTCGGCGCCATACACCTGCGTGAAGCCCTTCACAACCAGCCTCGCCTTCTCGCGCTCGACGGTGTCGTCGACGTGGTACTTCGTCGTCAACACCCACCGGTTCTTCATGACGTTCACTCCCGGCGGACGTTCGACCAACTCCCACGTTCCCATGTTGAGGAGGCTGCGAATCTCCTCCTCCATGGCGGCCTTCACCGCCGGGCCCTTCCAGCTCGCCAACGCCTCCTTCACCGTCATCGTCGAGATGTCCCAACGGTGCTCGGGGTCGGCTAGCATGTCGGGGTCGAGCTCTGGAAACTCCTCATCCTCCTCGGCATCGTCGTACAGCAGGTCGTCGGCCTCATCGTCCACGTCGTACACCGTGGTGAAGGCAGCGGGGACGAAGAAGTTAGGCGGTCTCCGAAGTCGGCCTGAACGCCGTGGTCCTGGCCGGACCTCCTCGGCGTCCCCTCCATCGTTGCTGTTGTCGCTGCCCTCGGCGTCCTGCTGCTCCTCAGCCGGCGTCCCAGCCGACTTCTCTCCTATGGTCGGCTCCCCTGCCGACTGCCCGGTCGCCGACTGCTCCTTGGTCGGCGTCACTGCTGCCTGCTCTTTTGTCGGCCGCTGGTCCTCGACCTGCTTCTCGACCTGCTCCTCCCCTGTCCACGTCGACTGCAATCCCACGTCGACCTGCCGCTCGTCACGTCGGCCACCGGCGATGCACTTGGCCGAAGGCGACGTCCCACTAATCCCCTCATCGCCGGAGGCCGACACCGAGGTCAGCCCACGCAGGTTGGCCACGAGGGGAGGGGCAGGGGTCGGAGGGGGAGGGGTAGGGGGGCGGACGTCCTCGACGTCCGTAATAGCAAGCTCACCGACCTCGGCAAGCAGTGGCAGCGTCGCCGACGAGGTGTCAGAGGGCGGGGTGGGCGACGAGCGGCCGGACACCGACCCGTACTCCGTCTTCCACTCGGCCAGCGACAGCTCCTCGTAGAACACCACATCCGACATGGTGACCACCCGGTCGGCGTCGACGTCGAGGAGCTCCCAGCCCTTGCTCGCCGCCGACACGCCAAGGTGCAGGCCCCACCTGGCCTTCGGCTGCAGCTTCCCACCACGCTGCTGCTCGGTGACTAAGAACTGCGCCATGCAGCCCCACACCCGTGCTAGCGACAAGTCGGGCTTCTTCCCGGTCAGCAGTTGGTACGGCGTCGTCCCCGGCGGCAGCGCCGACCTCTCAAGGCAGTTGCGGACCCAGACGGCCTGCCGGAGAGCGAGGTGCCACCAGTGGTGTTGCACGCCCATGTGCAGCAGCATTGTCCGCACCGACTCCACCACCGTCCTCATCTCCCGCTCCGCCATGCCGTTATGCTGCGGGGTGTATGGGCAGGTCAGTTCGTGGACGATCCCCTTGCCGTTCACGAAGTTGGTGAACTGCTTCCCGAGGAACTCCCCTCCCCGGTCAGAGCGCAGCATTAACACCGACCTCTTCGTCTGCCGTTCAGCCACTGCCAGCCACTGCACGAACGCCGGCAACGCATCTGACTTCTTGGTGACCGGCTTCACCCACACGTAGCGGGTCTTGCGGTCCTTCAGCAACAAGAAGTACAGGCTGCCATCCTTGGCAGCCACGCGGAATGGCCCGCACAGGTCGATGTGCACGACGGCCAGCACATCGTCGGCGTCGGAGCCTTGGTCGGGGAAGGTGTGCCGCGCCAGCTTCCCGCCGACGCACGAGACACAGGGGGAGTCGGCGCCCGTCGCCGACTTGGGGTCCAGCCCAATGGCGACCTCGTTCTTCGCCGAGCTCCGTATGGTGTCCATGCCGACATGTACAAGCCGGGCATGCATACGGTCCGGCGTCGACTTCGTCTTCGAGACGATCGCCCGCAGAGCCACAACCTCCGTCGTGGGCGACGTCGACCTCGTTGAGCAGGGACGCAGGTCGGTGCAGAGGACACGCCCGGAGTACGTCGCCCGACCGAGCACCTCTCCCGTTGCCGAGACGAGCACCATCCCGTCGCCGTCCTCTTGCAGCTTCACGCCGTGCTCCTTAAGCTGGCCGGACGACAGCAAGTTCGCCCGCACACCCGGGACGTACAACACGTCGGGGATGAGCACCTGCTTCCCGGCCTCCCCTTGCAGGGCGACGGTGCCGCTGCCCTGAACGTCCTGCAGCGCCCCATTGAAGCCGCGCACGTGCTTGATGGAGCCACTCGGCTGCAGGTCAACGAAGGCTTCCTTCGTTCCCATCAGGTGGTGGGAGCAACCGCTGTCGAGCAGGACCACCGCCGGGTTCGCCTGCACAACCGCCGCCACCGCCTGGAAGTCCTCTCCGGCCTCCGGCGCCAGAGAGATGGTCGGCTTCACGACGCCGACCAGCGAGCACGACGCCATTTTGTCGTCTCGCCCCTTGCCGCCTGCAACGGAGTCGGCGTCCTTCGCCGAAGTCGATGCCTTGGTCGACTGTTTCTCCTTGCGCGGATGATTTCCTCCACGACGAGGACGACGGCTGCCAGACCTCCCGCGGCCGCCCTTGTCGTCGTCGTCGGAGTCACTGCGGTCGGGACAATCGAAGGAGAGGTGATCGGGGCTGTGGCAGATCCAGCACTCCCGACGTCGACCTCCTCCTCCTCGACCGCCGTCCTTGGTCGACTTCTTCTCGACCTCCTTGGTCGACTTCCAGCTACCGCTCCCGCCGCCACCAGACTGTCCGCGCTGTCCTGGTCGGCCTCCTTGTTTCGCAGGGGCGACGAAGTTGGCCTGCGCCAAGAGCTCCTGCGATCGCTCAGCCTCCTGCATCGCCTCGTCCTGCAGGATGTATGAGGTCAGGTTGTCCTCGTTGAGCATCGCCCTTGTGCTCGGCGCCATAGACAGCCGCTTCAGCAGGTTGTAGCGGCTAGCGAGACCCTGCATGACATGGGTGATGTACGACGCCGTGGAGTACTGCGCGCCGGCCATCCTGATGGTGGCGAGAATTCGCCTGGCTCGGTTGCAGTAGTCGGTCGCACTCTCCTCGTCGCCCATACGCAGGTGTGTCAGCTGTCCCTCCAGCTGGGCGATGAACAGGTCGTCGGTGACCTGGTACGTCGACTCAATGAAGTGCCACGCCCGGTGGCCAGCGTCGAGGTACTCCCGGCATCACTTCAAGGCGATCTGCACGCCCGGCGAGCAGCACCGCGAGATGACCGTGAAGGTCAACAGCTGCACGGCGCGAAACTCCGCACGCAGGTCGGGGTGGTGCTCACTCGGCGTCGCCACGGTCCCTCGGGCGAAGCCGATCAGCCCGGCCATCTCCAGCTGGGGCTCGATGGCTTCCTTCCAGGTGAGAATGTCGGGTCGACCGACCAGCGGAGGGGTGACCGAGATCCTGTCCGGCGTAAACTTGAAGTAGCCGTAGCTCGGTGCAATCCCACCTGCCGTCACCTGGGACGCCGTCATCGGCGACAGCCCACTTCGACGCCCACCGCCGTCACCATGTGAGGAGCCTGCAGCCACCGACGACTTCATCCCTCTCGCCTGAACGCCGCCGGCTTCACCGGCGTGTATCACACCTCGTTGCCTCGACGTGCCTCCCACACTGCTGCCGACCTGACCTTCACCGGCGTTGACGCCCACATCGACGCCGCCGTCGTTGTTCACCGGTCGAGGAGAGGCAGGTCGAGAAGGGGGATGCTCCGCCGCCCACACGGAGCGGAGTCCGGCCTCGACGACTGCCCAGGGTATCGCCCCATACTCCTGGGCCTCATGGCGTCTCCTCGCATCCTCCAGCCATCCCTCCAGGGTGTCCATCACCTCGGCGTCGCCTACGCGCACGCTAGTGACTTCACGGCTGCCGGTCTACGAACACGATCGGTATGTGCTAAGTCGGCTAGACTGAACTACGTCGCGTGTTCGATCCACGCTCACCGCACCATGAGAAGATAACTACTACAACGGGAGCTTAGAGTACTGGCTAGGCACGTGTGCTCGTGTGATGTCTGCGTTCGTTGGTCCTTAGACGTTTTCCTAGTGCTCACACTGGTTGCTAGTTCACGGGGCAATTTGGCAAGAGTTTCACTAGAGAAAGTTGTCAATAATGGTACAATGAAGTTGGCAATGCAAGACTACATCAGAGCTAGCATTCAGGTTGGTCGACTGCCAGCACAGCATGGTCGACCGCGTTCCAGCACGACTTGGTCGACCACGCTACAGCAGTGCAAAGTCGACAGCTTGCCAACGCTGCAGGTTGACGGTGTGCCAGCATTGTTCACGCAGGACAGCAGTGCACCCGCTTTGCAGGTGCGCGCAGATGATTGGCATGCAAAGTCTCGTCACCTGCACAGCGCACACACCACGTCAACCTCGGGCTAGCGACTGCCTCTGATCCGCCACGACGACCTCGGGATACCACCATGGAGGTCGGTCTCGCCAACTTCGCCTGGGTGACCGTCGCACTCCTTCGCAGAAACTCGTCACCCAGGTATCCTGGTCGACCGGGCAACTATGTCGACCAGCTGCTCCTGTATGTGCTCGTCGACCTCCCAAGTCGACAACCACACCAGGTCGACCTCACCAGGTCGACCACTCCTCCAGTCGACCAGATCCAGGTCGACGTCACTCCTGGTCGACCAGTGCAGTTGTCAGCTACCCAAGTCGGCGTCACCAGGTCGACGCCCCTTCTACGTCGGCGCCGACTTCAAGACTGACCTCTTGAAGTTGGCGACCTCCCAAGTCGGCGACCTTGCAAGTCGGCGCCGACTTGCAAAGTCGGTGACCTTGCAAGTCGGTGACCTTGCAAGTCGGTGACCTTGCAAGTCGGTGACCTTGCAAGTCGGCGCCGACTTCCAGGTCGACGTGCCACATCGCCGACCACCAGTTGAAGTCGGCCGCTGGCTTCCCAAGTCGGCGGTATTGCAGTGGCGCCGTGCAAGTCGACCAACCCCGTCGACCAGCTCGTCCAAGTCGGCGTCGCCCACTGCTGCAAGTCGGCTGTACCTTCCGTACACCCCACCACGAAGTCGGCTCCGCCCAAGCGTGGACGGGGCCAACACACAACTCCCGTTGACAGGTTATCTGCATCAGCTCAAACTTCTCATTCACGCAGTGACCTGTCACTGATATATACGACCGGTGATTCTCACCGGTCCATATGTCATGCATAAGTGCAACAGCCCCTACCCCGTCAACAGCAAGCATCTCCATGAGCTTGATCCTTGCCAGCCCTGCCAGGCAGATGATTTGGCGGGCTAGGGTGGAGCGCGAGGGAATCACTTTCTCCACGGCACACTCGGGATTGGCGGCCGCTATCATATTGCGAAACTGCCATCAAGAAGGGGTGTGGGGGGTGGGTACATAAGTAGCAGCACACTGAATGACGATCTACGGGACAATCACTGTTGGTTTGTGGTTAAGAAGGGGGTGGTGGTGGTATGGTGGTGGGTTCACCGTCGGGTGTTCCACCACAGTGAATGCCTGGTCGGTGGCGACCACCCACTCGCACATGGCCTGCTGCAGATAGTCCTTGTCGAAGCGCTTGGGGTAGGTCTGCGTGATCAGCTGCTGCCCCTTCCTCGCTGGCACCCCCTCAGTGGGCGGCGCTGGCCAAGTGTTTGCGCCTACCCATTTCACGCCCCCGTCCGGAACCTCGTCGTCAATCCCATACCCCCCCTTCAGGAAGTGGTCGTTTTGGCCCACCTCCCCACCATGGAACTTCCGCAACCATATGATCCAGTGGTTGAGGTGCTGCCCTTGCATGTGAGTCCTGCCGGTCGTGCAGTTGGTTCCGGCAAAGGAGATCTCCATATTGCACTTGCGAGATCGACGCTTCTTCTTCGGATGGTCAGGAATCTTCTCAAAACATCGGGTGACGTACCCCGTCAGAACCTTGGGCTTGGGTGGTGTGGCATTAGAGTGCACGGATGGGGTGGCAACACCATCCTCGGAAGTGTCTTCCCTCCGAATCTGCCCTCCCCCTCGAACACCGGAACTACCACGCCCCCTCCCTCTCCCTCGCCCACCCCCTTTCCCCCGGCCGCCCCCTTCCCCCCCCCCCACCTCGACCGCCTGCTGCCTTCTTACCCTTCCCATTTCCACCCCGTCTCCTCTTTTTAGCTCTCTCCCCCCCATCTCCCTTTGTATCCTCCATCCCTTCCTCTTCCAAATCATCGTAGTCCTCAACGTTGTCGTCCTCCGCCTCCTTTTCGTCACCGGTGTACACCTCCTCCTCTGACTCGTCACCACTCCCCTCCTCCGAATCCCCCTCTTCCTCCTCGGCATCCCCCTCCTCTTCCTCCTCGGCATCCCCCTCCTCTTCCTCCTCGGCATCCCCCTCCGCTTCCTCGTCCTTCTCTTCGTCGGCCGCCACCATCTCCTCATCCGCCTCATCCTCGTCACCATCCGCGCGAGCACCACCGTCATCATCGCCATCGTCCCCTACTGCACCACCGTGCCGTTCACGATCCTCTCCATCAACCCCGTCCTCCACATTATCGTCACAATGAGTGTCGCGATTTACCCCAGAACTCCCTTCGCCATGACGTTTGTCTACCTTCTTGCCTCCTCCAACCGCCTCTAAAAGTTGCTCACGATGAAACTCCGCTGAGGCCACTTTCAGTTGGCGGAGCTCTAAAGGTGTCATCCCAATCTGCTTCTTCTCGCCACCATTAGCCATATCTTTACCACGAGCACCACCGCGACCGCGACCTGCTGCAGCCGGCGCTTTGTTGATCTTAGAGACGCCCTGCTTTGTTCGCGCCATCCTATCAAGGAAAAGTCGACCTTCTAATATAAACGTCCTAGGCCGAGTCAACCCTACAACATGTATCGCGATGTCTAGGTAAGTTTGACGGTCAATCGCGTCTACAACGCTACGCCAATGTCCTACAGATGCGGACGAGCTCGTCCCTTAGAATAGTAGGCGACATTGTTTCGTGCTCAGGTCTTAGCGGTCGCGTAGGCGAAGTGACGAGAGGGAGTGCTGAGGGAACGGTACGTGCGTGATCCAAATGAAAGCCATCAGATATGAAAGGTTGTTGTCGGAATGGCGGGAGGGACAACTGATGGAAAGGTGCGTGCATGAACCCATCAGATCTGAAAACTGGTTGGCTAAATTGGCGGGAGGAAAATTTCAACCCAACCAAACCGCAATGTTATCTCTCAGAATCCCAACCACTAGACCATTGGGATAAAAGGGCTTGTTTCAGTAGCGGGTCAGTGCGCCCATAACCCCCCAGGCAATCGTGCCTGTAACCCTTCCCTAGGATCGATCGGGGATCACCAGTGGACCTCTGACACCCCCCCGCACTGGGATGCCCGAAGTGCATACACCGGGATTCGAACCCGAGACCTTCGCTCTTGATACCATCTCAGAATCCCAACCACTAGACCATTGGGATAAAAGGGCTTGTTTCAGTAGCGGGTCAGTGCGCCCATAACCCCCCAGGCAATCGTGCCTGTAACCCTTCCCTAGGATCGATCGGGGATCACCAGTGGACCTCTGACATTATCGGTTAGGGTAACGAGACGAGTTTTTTGGTACTCGTCGAGCTTAAAATGCTCGGCGGGTTCCCTAAATGCTCGCCAAAAAGCAAGCGAGTACTCGTCGAGCAAAAAAAAACTCGGCGAGTAATACTCGGCTCGACTCGGCCGAGTAAATTTTACAAAAAACAAAACTCGTTACTCGCATCCAAACGAGTAACTCGGTGGAGTCCGAGCGAGTAACTCGACTCGTTGCACAGGTATATGCGCTTATACCCGGGGCTAGACGGTAACACATTCTGACAATGAGGGTATTTTGCCCTGATACCATAGGCCCTGGCGTCAACCTGAGCACATTCCCGACGTCCGTGTTTAAGGCTGATGAATCTCGATCTTGGCCTGTATCCCTATGGATTAGTTCTCTATAAACCTCTGCGTCAATTTATTGCCCCTAAGATGTTTTAGTAAAGTAGTGATGGGAAATTGGCAATTTATTTTGCAAGCAGACATGAATCATGACACTCAACCGAATGTGTGTTAGAATCCGTCTGAAGTATCACTATATGAGTAAACTTTTAAGTAGATCTCCAGTAATACCCACCCGGTATATACTTTCCCAAAGAAAGATGCTGTGCATTCTATAGCGGTTTGCGTGCTCCACCGTTTTAGAACCTCCACCCACCCATAGGCGCCACGCAGGCATTTGTCTCGTAGCGCTACCCATAAGCAAACCAATGTGAGCCCCTCTTGGATGGCAGACATGCCATCCGAGGAACAGTTTCCTCCATCGGAACTTCTAGAGAATCCAGAGTATCCAAAATAGCCAAGCCAGCCAGCCAGCCATCGTTGTGGTTCCCTGCTGCCCATGAAATTTGAACCATCAGGATGTGGTAAACTTTCCCGCTGCGCGATTTTCCTGTGTTGACCAAGGAGGGGTTTAATGCACCAACGGTGTACAAGGCGCGGTTGTGATGTGACCCGAACTAGCTCTCAAAACTGGAGCATCCCAAATGCTGGAGAGAACACAGGGTCTTATTTACCAAAAAAACATAGATGCTTTAAAACAAGCTATAAGTAGTGCTTAAACTCTGAGAACGTCAGTCATTTGTTATCTCAAACACAGAGGAATCCCGCAATGCGCACTCTATTTTTTTCTGAGACGGAAATACACACTCGATGGCTGAAGTGCAAGTGTGGGTCAAACAAACTCCACGAACTACGGACCGTGTACGACGACGATCCATGGCTGTTGCATACCTCCACCTCAGCAGCAGCAACCTACGGTCCGCCTCCTCGTCGCTGATGTGCCCCTTTCATGCTGTGCTGCACCTCACGCGCAAGTTCCACAGTATGGTGAGAGGTAACTTCATGACTCACACGGTTGGCTTTGCAGCATCTCCACCATTTACCGCGTCTCGCATCATCGGAATGAGATTTAAATACATACTGACCTTGACTCTGACTCGTTTGAGACCTAGGAGGTGGTGAAACTGGTCGTCAAACCGGCATTCCTCGGTTCAGTCAGACCCGGCCCGCAGCCAAGCTACAGCTCTCCCCACTTAGATGTTTCCGAGGATTCGCGGTTCCACCTTTCGCAATGCTGAACCCTTCCCGAGAACCGTTTATCCACCATTCTGAATCCTGCGTTACCACTGCTGTCAAGCCGACTTCGATCTACTCAGTTAACGGACTACCTGCAGCCAACCGCGCACGTACGCGTTCGTGTCTGTGTTGCGTGTCGATAGATTGCATCCCCCCTCCCCCCGACCCGTTAGTACGTGAAGCTCGATCATGCAGTCAGCGCTCGATCGCCGCCCCACACGGATCCCCTCGGGTTCGGGCCCTGTTTACCGCGGGAGCTCCTTCGATTCGCCGCAGCAATGCGCGGACTTTCAGGGCACCGCATGCGCGGCTTTACCGTCTGGTTTCACCCGCTCCCCCGCCCCCGCTCCCCGTGCCTTCGCCCCCACCGGCTCCCGTCCGCAAACCCGTGGCCAGAAGCCTTCTTTCCCCCGCTCCGCTTCGCTGGGCGCTGGCGGAAAATCCTCCTCCGCACCTCCCCCCGCATCGAGCGCAACGCATGAGCGCAACCTCCGCAGGCGCTCGTCCGCGGCGGGGTCAGCGGGAGCGGATCTGGGCGCGCGAGTCGCGGCGGCGGTGGCGGCGGTTGCGGTATCCGCGTCGGCGGCGAATGCGCCTCCGCCGGTCGCTCCCACGGCTGCTGAGCTTTACGCCGCGGCGGAGGCTGCGGAAGCGGCGGAATCTGCTGCGGAGGCGGCGGCGGCGGCAGCGGCGCAGCGCATCGCGAAAGCGCGGGAGCTGATGGAGCGGCTGCACCAGCCGACGGCGCACGAGTTGCGCCAGCAGCGGGAGGAGGCGGAGCGGCTTGAGAAAGCGCGGGAAGAGATGCTGGAGAGGCAGCGGAACGAGGAGCGGCGAAAGCAGGAGCTGGTAACCCGCGCGGCGACGATTATTGCGACCGCGGGGATGCCAGGCGCGCGGGAGTTCCGCGCAGAGCAGGAGCGGCGGGAGGAAGAACGGCGCGCGCAAGAACTACTCGAGCAGGAGCAGCGGGAGGCGGAAGAGCGGCGACGGAGGGAAGAGGAGGACCGGCGGGAGAGGGAAGAGGAGGAGAGGCGGCAGAGGGAAGAGCGGCGCCAGCAGTTGAAGAGCCGGGCGGCCACGATTGTCGCTAATGCGCCCTCGTGGGAGCAGACGCTACAGCAGCAGCTGCGGCAGCACGATCATGCTACAGCCGGGTTGCTAGATCCAGATGATTCGGCCGCCGTTACGAAAAGGAGAGAATCGGAAACTTCGCGGGCGCTGTCGTTGCGACGTCGCCCACTGATGGTACAGATCGACGACGCAAGCGACAGTAACATTGTTACAGTCGCTTCCCCCGCGACAGGCTCCGCCAGGACCCCGTGGCAAGGAGCGGGGGCGACGGAACGCAGCCCGCGATCAACGCTAGTGGCGACGGCGGCATTCGCGTCCGCGCAATCGGTGATGGCGGGAGCCAAGTCCCCCGGATCGATCTCCCGGGGCGCGACTCGGTCGTTCGGAGCATCCGCCGCGCCGCCCCCTTCCGCGGCATTCCTTCCGCCTAAGTCTCCCGCTGCGCCGATCTGGGGCGCAGGCGCAGTTTCCGCCAGGGAGAGTCAGGAGGCGCATTGGCAAGACGTGAGTCGACTGGAGGCGATCAGATCGCCCAAAGGCGCGCAGCTTTCTTCGTCGTCGGGTGGCTGTTCCACGCGGAACTTGCACGGGCAGCAGCGGCAATCATTTCACGGGCAGCAGGGAGAGCCGCTTGGTCAGAAAAACGGGCACGTAAAAAAATCGGTGTCGTTTCCCGATATTGGATGTCTTCACCCGCCCGGCTTTCCCGGGCAGGCCGCGGAGCGCAGTAACACTACGGGTAGCGGTAGCGCGATTCACGGCAGAAATATTGTTACTGCTAGCCGTAGCCCTAAAGCTTTGCGCGGAGCGTCGGCAATAGAAAGGTCAACTAGGAAAGGCGACTCGATGTATCTTAGTGACGGTCAGTCAGTAGTTAAAGAGGACGACTGGGGTCGCGCGGGGATGGAGAGGCGACGCGAGAGGAGGAGAGGGGGCAGCGAGGGGTGCGAGCCCGCATTCGCGGATGACTGGGCGGCGGATCGCGATGACGATGTTCCTGTAGCGAGAACTCTTGTAGCGAGTACGGTTGTGGCGAGCGGGTGGGAGCGCGAGATAAGCTTAGCGGATATGCCTCTCGATTCCGCCCCGCCGCTGTCAGTCGTGTCGCCCCGCCCGCCCTTCGCTGCTGCCGCCCCCGCGGACGCGCCTCGAACTCAGATTGATCTGAACGAGAGCCCTTCCTCCTCCTCTCCTCCCTCCCCACTTCCTCTCTCGCCCTCTCCCCACCCTCTCCTTCGCCACCCTTTCTCCCCTCACTCTCCCTCCCCTCATTCCCCCTCTCCTCACTCCCCCTCGCAAGGCGCCGAGAAACCCTACGGCACGTCTCCAACCCCACCAGCCTTCCAGGGCGCGAGTAGAAAGAAGGACTCTCGCCCGCCACTCTCCCCCACCTGCATTCCCCCCCACGCCTCACCCACCGGACCTGCCTCCAAGGCTTGGCATACCTACCCCCGGAGCAAGAGCTCCGCCGAAGCAGACGACTCGCCCCGGGAAGGCAAATCCCCCGAACCTGAGTATTTTCTTGATAGGGAAGGTATTGGTGAGGTGAATAGGGTGCAATTGCTAGACGAACGGGGTCGAGGTTCGGGCCGAGCCTGCACTGCTGAGACTGAGGATTTGCTTGGTGGGGTACTGGGACGGGTATCCCGAGCCAGGACGGTGGAAGGCAGGATTGAGGCAAGGGGAGGGGGAAGAGGGAGGGGAGGAGCAGCAGGAGGAGCGAGAGAAGTGAGGGGAGTGGGTGAGGGTGTGAGAAGAGGGGAAGTGCCGCAGAGAAGACCTGAAAATCGGTCCCATAGTAAATCCATGGACTCAACAGCAGTAGGAATGGGATGCAGCAGGAAGCAAGCAGAAGGAGCATCAAGCAGCCCGGGTAATCAGAGAAGCCCGAGCAATGAGGGCAGTGAGTGCAGTCCGGTGAACACAGCCGCAGGGGGCGACGGCAAGGCACGGGTAGGTTCTGAAACAGTGGCCAGGAGAGCGCTCGTGAAGCATGCGAGCAGTGCGGCAGAGCGAAGGAGAGGGAATTCTTTAGGGGTTGGTGCAGGGGATGCGGCTGGGGATGGTTCAGGGCGGGGCGGAGGGAGCTGCAGGCATAGGAGGGCGGCGACCTGGACAGAGCCGGAGGAATTGAGTCCGGGAGGGAGGGAGGATGGAGGGGATGGTGGGTCGCCAGCTGTTACAGGCGAGGCTGCTGCAAACGCAGAGGGTAGTGGTCGGTGGGAGGCAAGATCAGAGGCAAGATCAGAGGCAAGACTTGGGAGACTTGCAGCCAATTCTGCTGCTGATGCTGGTGCTGGTGCCGCCTCAGACCCAGTTGCACGTGAGGCGGATGCAGAAGCAGATGAGCGAGGCCAGTGGGAGGAGGCGGAGCTGCAAATCCGCACGCGGTTCTTCAAGGCGAGCCACAACCGTCTCTTCAGCCTCGCAGCCAAGGGCCTCTCCTCCTTCTCCAAACTCCTTGCTGCCGCCAGTGCTGCTGCTGCTGGGGCTGCTGCTGGCATGGGCGTGGGGGGTGTGGGGGTGAATGTGCTGGGTGGGGCGTTTGGGGAGGTGGAGGAGAGGTATGAGGTGGAGGGGGGGAAGGAGCTGGGCGCGGGGCAGTTTGGGGTGACACGAGTGGTGGTGTGTCGGAGCACAGGGAGGCGGCTTGCATGCAAGACCATCAACAAGGCCGCTTTCAAGGTGTGTGTTGCTTGATGTTCCATCTGTTTGTTCTTCTTCTCCTCTCCTCATCCTCTTGTCCGTACATCTCTTGTTGACCGCCCCGTGTGCCTTGTGCTTCTTGCTCCTCTTTTCCTCCTCCCATGCTCTACCCCCTCATGCTCTCCCCCTTCGCTTTCATCCACCCCTCCGCACCCCAGTCCAAATCCGACATCGAAGACGTCCGGCGGGAGGTCGCCATCCTGAACCTCCTCAGATCCCACCCGAACGTAATTCACCTGGAAGAACCCATCGAAACCCCCCATGCCATCCACCTGATCATGGAGCTGTGCTCGGGCGGCGAGCTGTTCGATCGAATCAAGGAGCGGCGGCGGTACAGCGAGAGGGAGGCGGCTTTGGTGATGCGTGCGGTGCTGGGCGTGCTGCAGAGCTGCCACCAGCGCCACCACGTGGTGCACCGCGACATCAAGCCCGAAAACATCCTCCTCGCCCACCCCTCCTCCCCCACCGACGTGCGCGTCATCGACTTCGGAGTCGCCGCGTTTCTCAAGCCCGGGGGGAAGATGTTGACTGATGTCGTCGGGTCGCTATTCTACATCGCGCCGGAGGTGCTTTCCGGGTCGTATGGGACACCGGCGGATGTGTGGTCGGCGGGCGTTGTCCTGTATGTGCTGCTGGCCGGCGTGCCGCCCTTTTGGGCGGAGACGGAGGCGGGGGTGGCACGGGCGATCAAGGAGGCGGAGGTGGGGTTTAAGGGGTCGGCATGGAGAGGTGTATCGGAGAAGGGGAAAGATTTGATTCTGCGGATGCTGGATCGGGATCAGAAGAGGAGGGTCTCGGCACAGGAGGCTCTAGGTGGGTTCTGGTCGGTATGTTGGTCTGGTAAGCGGTTGGATGAGGTTCATGGGAGGTATGTGGGTCGGAGTGTAAGGCAGCGAGGCAGGTATGAGGGAGGGCATGTGCAGGAACATGGGCTTGCAAGCATGATTCTTACTGCTTCCCAGATGCATTTCTGTCTCGTGACTTTTTTTGTTCTGATGTGGGTGGGAAGATGCTGTTTGCCCGTCTTTTTCCGCCTCCTTCACTTCGTATTCCCTTACATCCTCTTTCCACATTCCTCGCTCATCTGCCTCTCTTCCTTGCCCACTCTTTGATTGGATTGATTTGTTTGCAGAGCATCCCTGGTTCAGTCGTTTTCAGTGAACCCATCGACTGTGCTTTTTTTTTACAAGAGAGGGGGGCCAACAACATGAACTTTGTTGATTTAATCCGATTAATCATTCTTCGAGTGCAGTGGAAACCCACTGTCTAATCCGAGTGCTTATATTATGCAGTTTATTCATAAAATACTTCGTGAGGTACCGGGAGCAGCAGAGGGGGAATTTGCTGACTCCAGGCTAGAAAAGATAGACTACGAAATGCATGTTCACTGCTTTTCGGATTTCACAATAGCGGGTTTTTTTATGGTCCAACACCACCACCAATGTTGGAATCCCCAACGCGTAACTACCTTTCAGCGAGCAACCAAGCACCCGCCACGTACGCAGCACGGTTCGAGACTGATTCAACTGCGACCAAGCGTCGCCGCCGGCGCCGGTAGCGGCGGACTGGATAGCTTTGTCCGAGGAGGGCTGGGTAGCGATCCTATTGGTTGTCGTCGAAGCCAATGACGTCTTCCTCGTGCCTTCGCCACACATGGCCGTCTTCTAGCCTTTCAACGCCCCGCGCGATTCACGCCGTGAATCGCGGAGGTGGTAGGGGGACCGGTGCCGTTCCTTGCACCCGTCAAACGACCGGGCGACCAATGGCAACCCGATCAGTCACAGCTCGTTACAATCACGCCCCCCGCCGATCTCAGCCAATCAGTCGTCTCCTAGGCTCCACGTGGCCACCCTCCCTCGCGTCCGTACACGCGACGCGAACCAACCAATATTCGCGTTATAGCGTTCCCCGCGAAACAGCACGTGCGTTGAATCCGACGTGTCGCCCTACCGCAAGTCTAGCTGGACTTGGTCGTGTTTTGTTGACCAGCGGTGTGGGTCTAGCCGTTGGAACCGGCGCGCTTATAACGTATCTTGCTATCAAGAATGGAAGGAGATTAATCGACGGCAGGAGGAGCGCGACGAGCGGGAGCTCCGCCGGTATTCGCGGTTCAAGAGTCACCGCGAGGAGCGGCGCTGCGGGAGGCAGTGCTGCTGTTGCTAGCGGGAATGGCGCCGGAAAATCCGGCGGAAATCCCGGAGGTGGGACGCCGAAGCGGAGTCCGGAGGGGCTTAAACTGGTTGGGGGGAACGGAGAGGTGCATCAGGAGCTGACGTGGCAGCTCCCCTCGTTACAAGAACCTTACAGGTGATTGCATTGACAAGCAATGACTAAGGAAGAGTAGAAGAAAAACTGGAAAACATCCGCTCGCGTGGCGTGCTAAAAAAACATGGTGAAACTGGAACTGAAACTGAAACTGAAACTGACACCAGCAACCTCTTCCCACCCTTTTCCCAACTCTCCAGTACAGGCCGTTCTTTGGACCACTGGCGAACTGCCACGTGGAGACCATCTTTGCAGCCGTGGCGCGCTCCCTGCCTGCCGTGCGGTTCAGAAGGGAGTGCCTGAGAATGGTGGATGGCGGCACGGTGGCTCTTGATTGGCCGATAGGGGGCGAGGCGCTGGAAGGCACGTCGGCCAATGGCGAGGTGCCACCTGGCACTCCCTGGCTGATTCTTCTGGTGAGTTGTTTGCTATTGTTTAGCAATAATTACTGTAGAAGATCACTGCAAGGTGTACACTGTACCACAGCCTCTGTAGCACTGCTCATCGCATCCCGCCTCTTCACAGTATCTCACCACTCTCCCACACCCTTGCAGCCCAGGTTGACGGGCGGCAGTGGTGACACATGTATGGAGCACATGCATATGTCCCCTTTTCCCCTTCGTGCATGCACCATAGACGAGGTGAGAAAAGGGGACATGTGCATCTGCTGCATATGTCCTCTCTCTCTCACCTCGTCTCCCTCCCTCTCGTGCATGCTCGCCCCTTTTCCCTCACCCACCCATCTGCCCAGGTTGACAGGGGGCAGTGGCGACACATATGTGTTGCACATGCTAGCCTGTGACTGCTCACCCCACCTTTGCACTTCTTCCACCCTCCCCACCCCACCCACCAGCCCAGGGTGAAGGGGACAGTGGCACATGCATGCATATATCCTTTCAACTCATCTCATCTCATCTCATCTCCCTCCCAATCGTGCATCCACCCTTCTCTTCCCAAACCGTCACAGCCAGGGCTGACAGGGGACAGTGGCGACACGTACGTGAGGCACATGCTGGTGCGCGCCAGGCGGCCTGGCGGGCGGGGTGGGCGGGGTGGGGCACAGCGGTGTTCAACTCCAGGGGCTGCCGGGGCTGCCTCTGCTCTCACCGTGCATGCACCACTGCCTTCCCTCATCTACCCACCAGCCCGGGCTCACAGGCGGCAGCGGCGACACGTACGTGAGGCACATGCTGGTGCGCGCCAGGCGGGCGGGGTGGGGCACGGTGGTGTTCAACTCGCGTGGCTGCTCCAACAGCCCCGTTACGTCGCCGCAGGTGATTCTTCCGCACACGATGATGGCCCAGGTGATATGTAGTGCCCAGAGCTCTCAGTGTTTCAATCCCGGTTTCTTAGACAGGCAACTAAGAGCTGTTTTTATTACTCAATCTGTCAGTCTTCTGCTGGAAGAATTCTCCTAAGTTGCAGCTCGCCCAGCTCTCATGGCTGATGGCCCAGGTGATACATAGTGGCATGCCATGTGCCAACAGCCCCATCACCTCGTCGCAAGTGCTTAACATGGCGCTTTGATTGATATGTACCCCAGGTGATGATGCCCACATGGTACCCCAGGTGATTGATCCCTGTCACCTCGCCACAGGTGATTCACGTGATGTCAACATCCCACATGCCATATCTCATTCTCACTTGCCCCCTGCCACATGCAACATGCAACATGCAACATGCCACATGCCACATGCAACATGCCACATGCCACATGCCACATGCAACATGCCACATGCAACATGCAACATGCCACATGCCACATGCCACATGCCACATGCAACATGCCACATGCCACATGCCACATGCAACATGCCACATGCAACATGCAACATACCACATGCCACATGCCACATGCAACATGCAACATGCCACATGCAACATGCAACATGCCACATGCCACATGCAACATGCCACATGCCACATGCAACATGCCACATGCCCCCCCTGCCATATGCAGCACACATACCACATGCGACAACAGTCGGCTCCACCCGTTCACCTCCCCAGCACCATCCCCCAGCGCTATGCAGCACATTCACGAAGGCCCATGGCACTTGGAGCGCCTTATGGGATTTCTCAAAAGTCCCCCTCCTCCGCCCCCCAACGCCCCCCTTTTCCTCTCCACCCCTTCCTCTCCTCTCTAGTTCCACTCAGCACCATTTCACTGACGATTTTCACCGCGCATTTAAGTCCCCTACTCCCTCCTCTCCCCTTCCCGCCTCTCTACCCACCAACCCCCATTTCTCCCCAGTTCTACTCAGCATCATTCACCGAGGATGAACGGCAGGTGGTGTGCTGTCAATAGTAATGTCTCAACTCATACTTGCCACTCGCTCCACTTTCCTCATCTCCACCCCTATCCCAACCACCCAGTTCTACTCGGCATCATTCACCGAGGATCTACGGCAGGTGGTGCGCCACGTGGCAGCACTGCAGCCGCTCTCGCGCCTCTATGCGGCCGGCTGGTCCCTGGGAGCCAACATCCTCGTGCGCTACCTGGCGCAGGTGGGAATGGCTGGGTGGTGGGTATGACTGATGGATTGGATGCTGTGTTACCTGAGCAGAGCACATCATTCACACCATCGATCATAAGTGCACAGATGATGTGGTTCCATATCTGCACAGCTGGTTCCATATCTGCACAGCTGGTTCCATATCTGCACAGCTGGTTCCATATCTGCACAGCTGGTTCCATATCTGCACAGGTGGTTCCATATCTGCACAGCTGGGTCCATATCTGCACAGCTGGTTCCATATCTGCACAGGTGGTTCCATATCTGCACAGCTGGTTCCATATCTGCACAGCTGGTTCCATATCTGCACAGGTGGTTCCATATCTGCACAGCTGGTTCCATATCTGCACAGCTGGTTCCATATCTGCACAGCTGGTTCCATATCTGCACAGCTGGTTCCATATCTGCACAGCTGGTTCCATATCTGCACAGCTGGTTCCATATCTGCACAGGTGGTTCCATATCTGCACAGCTGGTTCCATATCTGCACAGGTGGTTCCATATCTGCACAGCTGGTTCCATATCTGCACAGGTGGTTCCATATCTGCACAGCTGGTTCCATATCTGCACAGCTGGTTCCATATCTGCACAGGTGGTTCCATATCTGCACAGCTGGTTCCATATCTGCACAGCTGGTTCCATATCTGCACAGCTGGTTCCATATCTGCACAGCTGGTTCCATATCTGCACAGGTGGTTCCATATCTGCACAGGTGGTTCCATATCTGCACAGGTGGTTCCATATCTGCACAGGTGGTTCCATATCTGCACAGCTGGTTCCATATCTGCACAGGTGGTTCCATATCTGCACAGCTGGTTCCATATCTGCACAGCTGGTTCCATATCTGCACAGCTGGTTCCATATCTGCACAGCTGGTTCCATATCTGCACAGGTGGTTCCATATCTGCACAGCTGGTTCCATATCTGCACAGCTGGTTCCATATCTGCACAGCTGGGTCCATATCTGCACAGCTGGGTCCATATCTGCACAGCTGGTTCCATATCTGCACAGCTGGTTCCATATCTGCACAGCTGGGTCCATATCTGCACAGCTGGTTCCATATCTGCACAGGTGGTTCCATATCTGCACAGCTGGTTCCATATCTGCACAGCTGGTTCCATATCTGCACAGGTGGTTCCATATCTGCACAGCTGGTTCCATATCTGCACAGCTGGTTCCATATCTGCACAGCTGGTTCCATATCTGCACAGCTGGTTCCATATCTGCACAGCTGGTTCCATATCTGCACAGCTGGTTCCATATCTGCACAGGTGGTTCCATATCTGCACAGCTGGTTCCATATCTGCACAGGTGGTTCCATATCTGCACAGCTGGTTCCATATCTGCACAGGTGGTTCCATATCTGCACAGCTGGTTCCATATCTGCACAGCTGGTTCCATATCTGCACAGGTGGTTCCATATCTGCACAGCTGGTTCCATATCTGCACAGCTGGTTCCATATCTGCACAGCTGGTTCCATATCTGCACAGCTGGTTCCATATCTGCACAGGTGGTTCCATATCTGCACAGGTGGTTCCATATCTGCACAGGTGGTTCCATATCTGCACAGGTGGTTCCATATCTGCACAGCTGGTTCCATATCTGCACAGGTGGTTCCATATCTGCACAGCTGGTTCCATATCTGCACAGCTGGTTCCATATCTGCACAGCTGGTTCCATATCTGCACAGCTGGTTCCATATCTGCACAGGTGGTTCCATATCTGCACAGCTGGTTCCATATCTGCACAGCTGGTTCCATATCTGCACAGCTGGTTCCATATCTGCACAGGTGGTTCCATATCTGCACAGCTGGTTCCATATCTGCACAGGTGGTTCCATATCTGCACAGGTGGTTCCATATCTGCACAGCTGGTTCCATATCTGCACAGCTGGTTCCATATCTGCACAGCTGGTTCCATATCTGCACAGCTGGTTCCATATCTGCACAGGTGGTTCCATATCTGCACAGGTGGTTCCATATCTGCACAGGTGGTTCCATATCTGCACAGGTGGTTCCATATCTGCACAGGTGGTTCCATATCTGCACAGCTGGTTCCATATCTGCACAGCTGGTTCCATATCTGCACAGCTGGTTCCATATCTGCACAGCTGGTTCCATATCTGCACAGGTGGTTCCATATCTGCACAGCTGGTTCCATATCTGCACAGCTGGTTCCATATCTGCACAGCTGGTTCCATATCTGCACAGCTGGTTCCATATCTGCACAGCTGGTTCCATATCTGCACAGCTGGTTCCATATCTGCACAGCTGGTTCCATATCTGCACAGCTGGTTCCATATCTGCACAGCTGGTTCCATATCTGCACAGCTGGTTCCATATCTGCACAGCTGGTTCCATATCTGCACAGCTGGTTCCATATCTGCACAGCTGGTTCCATATCTGCACAGCTGGTTCCATATCTGCACAGCTGGTTCCATATCTGCACAGCTGGTTCCATATCTGCACAGGTGGTTCCATATCTGCACAGCTGGTTCCATATCTGCACAGCTGGTTCCATATCTGCACAGCTGGTTCCATATCTGCACAGCTGGTTCCATATCTGCACAGGTGGTTCCATATCTGCACAGGTGGTTCCATATCTGCACAGGTGGTTCCATATCTGCACAGGTGGTTCCATATCTGCACAGCTGGTTCCATATCTGCACAGGTGGTTCCATATCTGCACAGCTGGTTCCATATCTGCACAGCTGGTTCCATATCTGCACAGCTGGTTCCATATCTGCACAGCTGGTTCCATATCTGCACAGGTGGTTCCATATCTGCACAGCTGGTTCCATATCTGCACAGCTGGTTCCATATCTGCACAGCTGGGTCCATATCTGCACAGCTGGGTCCATATCTGCACAGCTGGTTCCATATCTGCACAGCTGGTTCCATATCTGCACAGCTGGGTCCATATCTGCACAGCTGGTTCCATATCTGCACAGGTGGTTCCATATCTGCACAGCTGGTTCCATATCTGCACAGCTGGTTCCATATCTGCACAGGTGGTTCCATATCTGCACAGCTGGTTCCATATCTGCACAGCTGGTTCCATATCTGCACAGCTGGTTCCATATCTGCACAGCTGGTTCCATATCTGCACAGCTGGTTCCATATCTGCACAGCTGGTTCCATATCTGCACAGGTGGTTCCATATCTGCACAGCTGGTTCCATATCTGCACAGGTGGTTCCATATCTGCACAGCTGGTTCCATATCTGCACAGGTGGTTCCATATCTGCACAGCTGGTTCCATATCTGCACAGCTGGTTCCATATCTGCACAGCTGGTTCCATATCTGCACAGCTGGTTCCATATCTGCACAGGTGGTTCCATATCTGCACAGCTGGTTCCATATCTGCACAGCTGGTTCCATATCTGCACAGCTGGTTCCATATCTGCACAGGTGGTTCCATATCTGCACAGCTGGTTCCATATCTGCACAGCTGGTTCCATATCTGCACAGGTGGTTCCATATCTGCACAGCTGGTTCCATATCTGCACAGCTGGTTCCATATCTGCACAGCTGGTTCCATATCTGCACAGCTGGTTCCATATCTGCACAGGTGGTTCCATATCTGCACAGGTGGTTCCATATCTGCACAGGTGGTTCCATATCTGCACAGGTGGTTCCATATCTGCACAGCTGGTTCCATATCTGCACAGCTGGTTCCATATCTGCACAGCTGGTTCCATATCTGCACAGCTGGTTCCATATCTGCACAGCTGGTTCCATATCTGCACAGCTGGTTCCATATCTGCACAGCTGGTTCCATATCTGCACAGCTGGTTCCATATCTGCACAGCTGGTTCCATATCTGCACAGCTGGTTCCATATCTGCACAGCTGGTTCCATATCTGCACAGCTGGTTCCATATCTGCACAGCTGGTTCCATATCTGCACAGCTGGTTCCATATCTGCACAGCTGGTTCCATATCTGCACAGCTGGTTCCATATCTGCACAGCTGGTTCCATATCTGCACAGCTGGTTCCATATCTGCACAGCTGGTTCCATATCTGCACAGCTGGTTCCATATCTGCACAGCTGGTTCCATATCTGCACAGCTGGTTCCATATCTGCACAGCTGGTTCCATATCTGCACAGCTGGTTCCATATCTGCACAGCTGGTTCCATATCTGCACAGCTGGTTCCATATCTGCACAGCTGGTTCCATATCTGCACAGCTGGTTCCATATCTGCACAGCTGGTTCCATATCTGCACAGCTGGTTCCATATCTGCACAGCTGGTTCCATATCTGCACAGCTGGTTCCATATCTGCACAGCTGGTTCCATATCTGCACAGCTGGTTCCATATCTGCACAGCTGGTTCCATATCTGCACAGCTGGTTCCATATCTGCACAGCTGGTTCCATATCTGCACAGCTGGTTCCATATCTGCACAGCTGGTTCCATATCTGCACAGCTGGTTCCATATCTGCACAGCTGGTTCCATATCTGCACAGCTGGTTCCATATCTGCACAGCTGGTTCCATATCTGCACAGCTGGTTCCATATCTGCACAGCTGGTTCCATATCTGCACAGCTGGTTCCATATCTGCACAGGTGGTTCCATATCTGCACAGCTGGTTCCATATCTGCACAGCTGGTTCCATATCTGCACAGCTGGTTCCATATCTGCACAGCTGGTTCCATATCTGCACAGCTGGTTCCATATCTGCACAGCTGGTTCCATATCTGCACAGCTGGTTCCATATCTGCACAGCTGGTTCCATATCTGCACAGCTGGTTCCATATCTGCACAGCTGGTTCCATATCTGCACAGCTGGTTCCATATCTGCACAGCTGGTTCCATATCTGCACAGCTGGTTCCATATCTGCACAGCTGGTTCCATATCTGCACAGCTGGTTCCATATCTGCACAGCTGGTTCCATATCTGCACAGCTGGTTCCATATCTGCACAGGTGGTTCCATATCTGCACAGCTGGTTCCATATCTGCACAGCTGGTTCCATATCTGCACAGCTGGTTCCATATCTGCACAGCTGGTTCCATATCTGCACAGCTGGTTCCATATCTGCACAGCTGGTTCCATATCTGCACAGCTGGTTCCATATCTGCACAGGTGGTTCCATATCTGCACAGCTGGTTCCATATCTGCACAGGTGGTTCCATATCTGCACAGCTGGTTCCATATCTGCACAGCTGGTTCCATATCTGCACAGCTGGTTCCATATCTGCACAGCTGGTTCCATATCTGCACAGCTGGTTCCATATCTGCACAGGTGGTTCCATATCTGCACAGCTGGTTCCATATCTGCACAGCTGGTTCCATATCTGCACAGCTGGTTCCATATCTGCACAGCTGGTTCCATATCTGCACAGCTGGTTCCATATCTGCACAGCTGGTTCCATATCTGCACAGCTGGTTCCATATCTGCACAGCTGGTTCCATATCTGCACAGGTGGTTCCATATCTGCACAGCTGGTTCCATATCTGCACAGGTGGTTCCATAACTGCACAGCTGGTTCCATATCTGCACAGCTGGTTCCATATCTGCACAGCTGGTTCCATATCTGCACAGCTGGTTCCATATCTGCACAGCTGGTTCCATATCTGCACAGCTGGTTCCATATCTGCACAGCTGGTTCCATATCTGCACAGCTGGTTCCATATCTGCACAGCTGGTTCCATATCTGCACAGCTGGTTCCATATCTGCACAGCTGGTTCCATATCTGCACAGCTGGTTCCATATCTGCACAGCTGGTTCCATATCTGCACAGCTGGTTCCATATCTGCACAGCTGGTTCCATATCTGCACAGCTGGTTCCATATCTGCACAGCTGGTTCCATATCTGCACAGCTGGTTCCATATCTGCACAGCTGGTTCCATATCTGCACAGCTGGTTCCATATCTGCACAGCTGGTTCCATATCTGCACAGCTGGTTCCATATCTGCACAGCTGGTTCCATATCTGCACAGCTGGTTCCATATCTGCACAGGTGGTTCCATATCTGCACAGCTGGTTCCATATCTGCACAGGTGGTTCCATATCTGCACAGCTGGTTCCATATCTGCACAGCTGGTTCCATATCTGCACAGCTGGTTCCATATCTGCCTCCCACTTAGCCCATTTTGTGAGGCATTTTCTCACCCCTCGCTCTGCCTCTATGCTGCCTGAGGGAGCTGTTCGTGTGCTCACCTGCCCGTCCGTGCGCCCACCTGCCCGTCCGTGCGCCCACCTGCCCATCCGTGCGCCCACCTGCCCGTCCGTGCGCCCACCACTACTGTCCTGTTGGAACCGTCATGCTTGTCCATGCACCCATCAAGGACCATCACTGGTCCTCACAGAGGGGAGAGAGGGTGTCTCTGTCAGGAGCCGTGTCTCTTTGCCACCCCTTCGACCTGGTTCTGGCTGGCTGATAGGAACTCCCACGTGCCCTGCCGCCCTGCCCCACGGTCCATGCACCCGTCTTCCCTTTCATTCGACCATCACTGATCCTCACAGGAGGGAGAGGAGGTGCCTCTGTCGGGAGCAGTATCGCTGGTGCAACCCCTTGGATTGGACCTCGTGCTGGCTGGCTCATAGGGACTCCCTCATTTCCTGCCGCCCGTACCAGCCCCCACCACTTCTGTCCTGTCATGACCCTCCATGCGCCCACCTGCCCCTTCATTCAACCATCATTTTCATGACAGCAAGGAGAGGAGGTGCCGCTGTCAGGAGCCGTGTCGCTGTGCAACCCGTTTGACCTTGTGCTGGCTGAACGGGTTGCACAGCAATAGGAACTTCCACAGGCCGGCCCCACGGCACGTGCAGTGGAGGAGGAGGTGCCTTGTCCCTGGCCCAGGCCCCACTGTCTTACCCCTCCCTCCCTCCATGCACCCATTTCTCCCTCTCTACACACACCCCTCCGTGCTTCCCCTCGATCACGGCAGGAGGGAGAGGAGGTGCCTCTGTCGGGAGCAGTATCGCTGTGCAACCCTTTTGACCTGGTGCTGGCTGATCGCAACTTCCACATTGGATTCAACAACTTCTATGATCAACGGCTGGGATCGACTCTCAGGGGTATTTACGCCAAGTATGTGTTGTACACCCATGTTGATCCACACCCATGTTGATCCACACCTGACTTGCTGCACGCCCGTCTTGTTGTACACCCGTCTTGTTGTACACCCATCTTGTTGTACACCCGTCTTGTTGTACACCCGTCTTGTTGTACACCCGTCTTGTTGTACACCCGTCTTGTTGTACACCCGTCTTGTTGTACACCCGTCTTGTTGTACACCCGTCTTGTTGTACACCCATCTTGTTGTACACCCGTCTTGTTGTATACTCCCCCATCTTCTCGTCCCCCCTCCCACCATCCCCTCTCTCCTCTCCCTATTCTCTCCCCACCCCTCCCTTACCCCTCTCTCCCCTCACCAGCCACGCCCCTTTGTTTGAGAGGCTGGGGGGCGAGTATGACACAGACCTTGTTGCAAGAGCCATGCCTTTTGTGGCACCTTATTAACCCTCCCTCTCTCCTCCCTTTCAAATGTCCTCACTCACTCCGCTTCCCTCCATCCCCTCCCTCTCCCGCCCTCCTCCCACCAGTCACGCGCCTCTGTTTGAGGGGCTGGGCAGGGAGTATGACATAGACCTCGTTGCACGAGCCTAGACCTATGAGGCGACTCAAAGGGCTTCTTTCTTCCCCCTCCCTCCATCCCTCCTCCTCCTCCCACCAGTCACGCACCCCTGTTTGAGGGGCTGGGCGGGGAGTATGACATAGACCTCGTAGCACGAGCTAAGACTGTGCGGGACTTCGATGTGGGACTCACACGAGGTGCGTGGGGGTGGAGGGCAACAGGGCCCACACGAGGTGCGTGGGGGTGGAGGGCAACAGGGACCACACGGGGTGCGTGGGGGAGGGGTGGGGAGAGTGGAGTGATGTATGCAGCAGCTGGCTTACAGCGACACAGGGGCTTACACGAGACTTTGATGTGGGGTTCTCATGAGGTGTGTGGGGGAGGGCTTGGGTACAAGTTTACAGTGACACAGGGGCTTATAGTTGTGAGGCTTACAGCGACACAGGGGCTTATAGTTGTGAGGCTTACAGCGACACAGGGGCTTATAGTTGTGAGGCTTACAGCGACACAGGGGCTTATAGTTGTGAGGCTTTCAGATATGGGAAGAGCCAAGACGGTGCCGGACTCCGATGTGCGGCTCACACGAGGTGCGTGGGGGAGGGCAGCAGGGCTCACACGAGGTGCGTGGGGGAGGGCAGCAGGGCTCACACGAGGTGCGTGGGGGAGGGCAGCAGGGCTCACACGAGGTGCGTGGGGGAGGGCAGCAGGGCTCACACGAGGTGCGTGGGGGAGGGCAGCAGGGCTGACACGAGGTGCGTGGGGGAGGGCAGCAGGGCTCACACGAGGTGCGTGGGGGAGGGCAGCAGGGCTCACACGAGGTGCGTGGGGGAGGGCAGCAGGGCTCACACGAGGTGCGTGGGGGAGGGCAGCAGGGCTCACACGAGGTGCGTGGGGGAGGGCAGCAGGGCTCACACGAGGTGCGTGGGGGAGGGCAGCAGGGCTCACACGAGGTGCGTGGGGGAGGGCAGCAGGGCTCACACGAGGTGCGTGGGGGAGGGCAGCAGGGCTCACACGAGGTGCGTGGGGGAGGGCAGCAGGGCTCACACGAGGTGCGTGGGGGAGGGCAGCAGGGCTCACACGAGGTGCATGGGGTGGGGTTGGGGAGAGTGGAGTGATGTATGCAGCAGCTGGCCTTACAGTACTGATGTGTGGGACGAACCAAGGCCATCCATGATTTTCTATGTGGGGGTATCAGGGCCTTGCAGGGCTTTCCCTCCCCCCCTGCCTTTTGTTTGCACTTCTCATTCCTCTCACCACCCTGCCTGCTTTCTTCTCTCTTTCCCAACTTCCCCCGTTACCCCTCTGTAGTGTCCCTTGACTCTTTCTTCCTTTCCCTTGACTCTTTCTTCCTTTCCCTTGACTCTTTCATCCTTTCCCTTGACTCTTTCTTCCTTTCCCTTGACTCTTTCTTCCTTTCCCTTGACTCTTTCTTCCTTTCCCTTGACTCTTTCTTCCTTTCCCTTGACTCTTTCTTCCTTTCCCTTGACTCTTTCTTCCTTTCCCTTGACTCTTTCTTCCTTTCCCTTGATGGACGCATCTCACAACGATACCAGTTCCACCAGTTCTCAATCTTCCATTCTCACATTACCATACAGTCCTCATCTCAATACAACATCCTCCAACTGTTTTTCTCCCTGCCCCTTTCCCGGTTCTCCTTTCCCATTGTTCCCCCTCAGTGTCAATTCAACCCTCAGGGCTATCCCTCAGGGCTAGCCTAAAAACCAAACTAAACAACTGATTGCTGAACACAGCTGCTGCCACGCTACACCATGCCTCCTACTTTGGGCTCCATTGGGCTATCCCTCAGGGCTATCCCTCAGTGTCCGTGGACTATCCCTCAGTAGACACCTATTTTTACCGCGATGCTAGCAGCAGCTTGAAGTGAACCCCAAAGATTGTCCCAAACCCCCCTTCTCTTCCCGTCTCTCCCATCCCATCGTTCCTCATCCTTGTCATCGGGTACCGTTCAGTAGACACCTAATACCATTGTAACACGAGCTGCTTTAGATGCTCCTCTAAGGTAGGCTCAAAACGCCTTCCTGTCTTTTCCCCCATCCCGTCCCATCCTTGCCCCTCAGTGTCATTCGGCTATCCCACAGTGGACGCTTATTACAGTGATGCCAGCAGCTGTCGAAGCATCAAGGACGTGCGATTGCCTCTGCTGTGTGTCCAAGTGAGTTGCATGTGGTTGTGCTGCTCTCACGCGCCAACTAGAAACAAGAACGAAAATAAGGGTTTTTCAGAAGTCGTTCGCTTCCTTAAGAACACTGTTGAAAGCACTTCAATCGTCCTTGGTAATCTTTCACAGCAATCATGTCATTCCCAGCTCCCACATTCAGAAACCAGACCAACCCTGGTTTCTCGTATCCTTGTTTCGCTCTTGTTTCCGTCTTGTTTAACCCTTGCAACCATTTTTCTTGGGCCATGTTCGTTCGTCTTTGCTGCCAATGCCCCACCATTCATTTCCTCTGTGTATTCTCTCCTCGGTTAGGCTTTGGATGATCCCATCGCACCAGCAGAAGGCATTCCGTATGCCGCTATTGAGGTACCGTGCTGTTTTGTTCTTGGACACTGATACTGCTTGTGGTGGTGCGTGATTACATGTGATGGGATGTGATGGTGTGTGATTACATGTGATGATATGTGATGGTGTGAAAGTACATGTGATGGTGTGTGATTTCATGTGATGGTATGTATTGGTATGTGAAGTATGGGACCCTCACCTTCATGCCACAGCACTGTACTGATGCACGAGATGTACACCCAAGAAGGATTTGACTTATTCTGGTTATGCAACACTATGTCAACACATGCCATCACATGCCATCACATGCCATCACATGCCACCACATGCCATCACATGCCATCACATGCCATCACATGCCACCACATGCCATCACATGCCATCACATGCCATCACATGCCATCACATGCCATCACATGCCATCACATGCCACTACATGCCATCACATGCCATCACATGCAATCACATGCCACCACATGCTATCACATGCCATCACATGCCATTAATTGCTATGGTGTTCCATCTTGTCATGGCAATGCATCTTTGGGTGTGCCAGAGTGGCACGGCACGGGGGGTAAGGATGGCCTGCAGTGACACATGTATGCACGACGCTGTTGCAAGTGTGCCGCACATCTCAGAGACATCTAATTCTGACACGTATCAAAACATCCTTGAGATATACACCCTGTTTCCTCTCATCCTTCAGAACAACCCCCTCACCATGCTTGTGGGAACATCCCACGGCGGTCATCTGGGCTGGGTGGCGGGTCCTGAGGCTCCCTTTGGGGCCCCTTGGCCGGACATACTCACTATGGAGTTCCTAGAAGGGCTGGAGAAGAGGGCGGTTGAGGATGAAAGCGAGGGTATTCCCCAAGAGACTGCTTATGAGAAGTTGTTTGGGCAAAAGGAGGAGTTGGAAGTGGTTGGAGAGGGTTCGGCGGGTGGTGAGGGTGGAGGGGGTCGTGATGCAGGTAGTGAGGGAGGAATTAAGGTATCATGGTAACACGGGATGTTGCCATTGCTACTGATATCCGTACCCAGCCATTGGATTATAGGCTTCACGCTTGCTGAAACACAAGGATTTAAGTACATTTAATCAAGAGTGATTTAATTATCACCTTCTTACCAGATAAATTGAGCTCTCCTATACAGAATTGATTGCTTTCTGAGGACTCAACTTCTTCACGTACCTCAACTTCTAAGGTCCCCGCCTAGCTAGCTTTCCCTGTAATCACTACAGGAGATGCTAAAAGAAGCCTGATTATCTTCTAACTTTTGTAGATAGAGAGGACAATCACGCATATCAAAAGTGTATTTCTGCCGTTACTGCTTACCAACTGATTCTTAGGTCATGCAGTGGCGGACAAAGTACCTCACAAAGTCGTGGGCAGATGAATTTCTCGATACACCCTCATTCTCGTTAGACTGGCATATGTTATACTGACCGAGACGCTTAGTGTAGCCGCAGCGGACCAAAGAAGGTCCTATCACATGCGTTATACTGACAGTTTGACCCAGGGCGTTTAGTCAAGGTTCTATACGTTCTAAAATTGTAATGCTGTTTTCTAAACGGTTAAGACAGTTATTCAGCGTTAATGGAATTTTACGGCCCAAGTCTGGTTTCGTCGCCTCGTGCGACTTGGCCCGCAACCGAGTTATCTCACCAGCCCGCTACGTCCAAACACTGTAGCCACTGCTTCCGCCGGTGAGAAGACTGAGAATAAGGGTGTACTTGCACTAGAATGGTGATTTGGGGGAGTGACGCTTGTCGACATGAAGGCTTGGCAGTTGCAGAAACCCACTGTACCACGTGGTGGATCCTTCTAACAGCACTATTTACGGTGAATAGTTTTCGTGCGTCATGAACTCGTATGTCATGAACTACATACTGCACGGTAGTTTGAGAGATTTGGGTCTCCAAAAGAAGGAAAAACTTTCTGGTTATCGAGCATGTTTTGTCAGAGAACATGTCAACTGGTTCTCGAAGACGACAACACATTCTGAACAGTGGCATTTTGGTTCTGGATCTGCCCCTGCCACCTGCGCGGCGGGCAAGTAACAGTGCAGTCGCCCCTTGGAAAACCTGCTTAGTTTCCCAACTGGTGTGGTGCTTGCTATAATTGAACCAGGCTATACCATTCTCTAACGTTTGATAAAGGTAAGGAAAAGTACCGTACCACTTGTGACGTCCCACCTGGTCAGCGCTTGAGATGAGGGGTTGAGGACGGAAAAGTTGGGGGTGGGATTTTTGTTTTTCCACAATCCTGCAGGTGGCTAGAAGACACACCCGTGCGGCAGTGCCAAAGAATGCAAGCAGGCAACACAGCTACACCAATCTCACATCTGAATTATTAGTAGTCCAGATTTGTTCAATAATGAATGAAATCTCAATCTGTGTGATACTGCGGCTACGGCTAACTGTTTTTAAACCAGAGCGAGGGTGGTGAGGTGTTCGCTTTGACCGTTTCCTGGTAACTTTCGGTTCGTCTGCTCAAATCTCATGTTGATGGGCTTGGTAACTGTGACATCTGGGAGCCCGGCAATATGTGAGTCGCTCGTTGTACATTCATATTTGAGTAGGTGGTACTACAAGACTTAAAATATCGGTTTGAGATAAACCTCGTACTGCACATCCCGTGTAGGAGCCATCAAACCCTACCTACCAACCTCCCAGCGCAACTGCCTCAACCCAACAGCAGGACGAAAAGTGTTCGTAAAACACGGGAGCATCTTTTGCTCAGAGTGCATTTCGTCCAGACAAGGATCGATAACCGCAGAGCATGATTCAGAATCACGTCGCGTCCTGCATTGCGAAGGCTATAACATCCGTGGAGTAGCAAACCGCTGCTTCCATCCTTAGACAGCATTCGTCGCACTGAGCGGCCGTTCATCCCTGAGGACATCTCAAGTCAATCAGACAACGTTGCCGTATCGCCTTACGTTCTGAGCCTACTTCCCTTTAGCTAACCCTGCAAATCTACTGAACTCCCGCCACTCAAGCTTCATTGGCTACAATTCCCCACTACACTAACTGAGCTCCAAATTCGTACATTTTGAACTCCGAAGACTGCACTAAGCGGTATACTAATCGCCTAATATGGAGCTACTACGGCGCCCCGTTCCCCCGTCGTTGTTACATTTAGCAGTACTGGTGGCATGCTTAGCGGGTCTGGCGGCAGCAGTATCGGATCTCCCGGAAGCGGACCTCGCGCCGCCGAAGCCGCTGCCGACGCGGTTCGAGCAGGCCATGGCGGAGACCGCCGCGTTGAGCCCCGACGCCAGGGCTAGGCTGCACGCCGCACGGCTGAGCGAACAGATGCTGCTCGTTCACGACGAGGAGGACGACGTTAGCGACGGCGAACCCGGCGAAGAAAGTGGTAACGACAACGGCGAAGGTCGCCGTCGCAAGCTGGCGACTACCGCGAAGAAGCTCGGGTTGAAACCACCGCTTCTGAACTCGGGACCGAGTATGGCGGATGTGAATAACACCTTCTTCCGGTGGGACTCGGTAACGCCGAACGCGTATGTGGATTGGCGACAGACCATGTACATCTCGCCGATACAGCGACAGTTCCAGGTGCGTGCGTCTGC